ACCCGTTTGTTCCTTAGGCTTCAGTATACCAAAAAAAGGAATTGATGCAGTTCATATAAGTAATATTCTTATTCACAAAAAGGTCCAGTCTTGTATTCCATCATGTCCACAACTTGTATTTCTTAATTACAGATATACATCGACAATTTCTTCAAACTTTTTAACTATAAAAAAAACTCTACAGTGCCTAGATATCGAGCATCTGAAACATAATCCTCTAACGTGTTTATGTTCTTCTCACCCTACAACTATAGTCCTGCTGGGCATGTTATTACTGGTGAGGTAAATATAATTAATAATGAGGACCTTAAATCACTAATTATAAGAGTGCTACAGTTAAGGGAACCCCGATCTTTCAACTGGCATAATAATTTCATAAATATTATGAATTCAGTTGAAGATTACGCTAGACGATGGACCAAATATGGAAAAGAAGACCATGAAACTTTGTCAGAATGGATTAAAGGTATCAGATTGATGTTGAAATCGCGCATTATGCGATTGAGGAGCAATATGAAAACCATCTATCAGTGTTGTACCGATAATCAGAAAACATCGATTGTCGACGAAAAAATGCTACCGATACCGATGATCGATTATAATTTTTCATAATCGATCATCGGAAACATACTTCTAATACAATACATTCCGGAATTATCCATTTCTGGTTTAAAATTTATTTCTTCTCAATGAAAGAAAATGGCGTCTGCATCTGATACTAGCCAACTAGCACGAAGCAGAGGTGATTAAGAACTGAAAGGTGCATATATAGAGCCTAAAAAATATGTTTGTTTCCTGTAACCCGACCGACCCATTCAATTTACCCCCGGGTGGATTTTTTTTCTGCCAAATCTGTGTTTGCTCTTTGGTTTGATCAGTCAGCTGATTCTTTTTATTAAAAAAAAAAATATTAATTGTATCTTTTATTTGAGATATAAAATATTCAACTTAGTCATTATTTACCTTAAATTAATAAATATAAAGAGTAATCAATTCCCCCCACAACTTTTTGAAGTTCGTTTTCTGCCGCTAGGCAGCCATGTTGGGTGTCCACTGTAAATATAGCTCCTGGATAATTCAGTCCAAGGATGTTTGACCCCTTTATTAATAAGCAAAAAAAAAAAAAAAAAAAAAAAAAAAAAAAATTCCCGACCTACCGACCCTTGATTTTTGGGGAATGTTACAGGAAACAAACAAACATAATTTTTGTTTAGGCCTAGAAAGTGTATAAGAAGCAAAACAACAAAGAAAATATTATATTATATATTTTATATATTCATGTTAAAGAAATAATATGAAATAATTGTAGTAGTCTGCTTTTTGTATACAAAACTATGAAATCCGATTATAATCGGTAAAATCGCATAGGAAGCATTAACCGATTCCAACCGATGATCGATTATGAAAATTATACGATGTCCCATCACTGCCGTCTATCCTTCTGTCTTCGACAATGCAGAAGAGAAACAAGAATTAGATAGATTACACGATCAGTACGTACTGGTCCCCGCTGCAGCAGGTAACATTGTCTTTGTAAGGCTCAGTATTTGAATTGTATTTTAGAGGATATAGGATTTAATTCTGCAAGTGATAATCCAACGTATACCCTTAACTCCTTTTCTAAGGACCAAATTCTTCGAAACCATATGTCAGTTTTAAATATTTTTTTTAAATTCTCAACAATCAAAATGAATTTTAATTACTATACCTATACTGGATTCCATAACTCCATAAAAGTCCTTACAAAGAAGGATACATAGTGGGTTTCCAGGAAATGTTCTACAATCCTCTTTCTTTACTCCTCACTAAAATATTTAGAGCAGTGAAGGAGAAACCTCAGGAGTACTGTATAACAGTATAGTATTTGGGAAGTGATGTAAATCATATATACTGTGGTTTCATCAATATTCGTTGAGCACCAATTTTCGAGGATTTCGTTATTAGGCAGATCCACGAAATTAAATGTTCATTGATTTACGAAATATGTTATTCATTTGTATAGGCAATGCTTTTGTCCACGAAATTACGTATCCTCGAAAATGTCTGTTTTACAAAATACACGAAAATTGATGCCAACGAAAATTGATGAAACCACAGTAGATACTTAAAAACTTCGAGAAACTTTTACAAAATTTGAAATCACAAAATTTACCAAAATCCATAACACCAAAACGTACGACTTTTCAACACTTAATACAACCATTCCCCACGATAAATTAAAGTCCAGGCTTTTTGACATCATAAACAGCTGATTTTTCAATAAAAATGGAACCCGTAAATATACTTACCATGTCACTGGTCATTTACAAAATTATTTTGTTAAAAACATTCTGATTGTACACACAAGTACTCGGAAGTTGATATCAAAAAGATGCTTGAGTTCTGATTGACAATACCTATGTAGTTTTTGGAGATCAGGTCTTTCAACAATCTGTTGGAATTTCCATGGTTACCAAAAGCGCCCCCTTGTTAGCAGACCTATTTTTGTATTCATATGAAGCAGAATTTATTAAAAAAAATTCTGCATGAGAAGAAAAAGAAAACGATTGCTGTTGCCTTCAACTCAATATTTTGATATATCGATGACGTATTATCAATTAACAATATTTACTTCCATTCATATACCACAGAGTCTGACACATCTGTTTCATATTTAGATATTTCACTAGAAAAGACTAAAATGGTAACCTAACAACAAAGCTTTATGACATACGTGATGACTTCAATTTTACATATCGTCAACTTCTCTTACTTAAGTAGCAATATACCCTTATCACCAGCATATGGAGTATTTGTCTCCCAGTTAATTCGATCCGCTAGAGCAAGAGCATGCTCTACGTATGAACAATTTCTAAAACGAGGCAAGATATTGACAAGCAAGGTCATGAAACAAGGGTATCAACAGTCTTGTTTGAGGTCTTCATTTCGCAATCTTTATGGTCGAAACAATGACCTTGTCGGCAAGTACAACTTATCGTTAAGTCAAATACGTTTTTCATACTGATTGTTAGGCCATTATTTGCACACACAATGGATTGTCGACGGATTTTTTCCGTTTCTCCCGATCATGACAAGGTGTACATGGCGGGTGTGACCGGTCGGCAGGGGATGCTCACTCCTCCATGACACCTGCTCCCGATTTGTACTGTTTGTATGGACTTTGAGCTTGAAAACTCTTCGTTATCTCTATATTTCAATACTTTCATCCATATGTCGACTCGATATATCCCAGTGAACTCGAAATAAAAGTCTCTACAGAGTCTTCCACATCTGTTTCATATTTGGATGTTTTACTGACTATAGACGATAATGACCAACTAATAACAAAATGTACTAGTATGGCAAACGGGATTACCAGCTTTTCCATCGTCAACTCTCCGTATTTATGCAGTAATATTTTACAATCACCGGCAGATGGTGTTTATGTCTCCCAGCTTATTCTATACTCAAGAGCATGCTCTGAGTACGATTGATCTTTAAACCGAAGTAGACCTCTAGTAACTAGCATCATTAGGCATAATAAAAATTCAGTTTTGGGAACGAACTCCAACTGTACAAGGAATAAGAAAATAAGGTTAAAAAATACGTATATGTCCTTATAATTACATATAAATACATATATATAAATATATATAAATACGTATATGTCCTTAAGGACAGATGATACAAACAAATTTTTGTCAAAAATCTTGAACATAACAATTCAAGTCATGTATATATGATTAAAAAGAATACGTTTAACCGCATAGATTTTTGTTTTTTATTCGAAGTTTCACAATAATGTGATTAAAATGTTGTATAGATGAATAAGGATGGTTACAGACAGGTCGAATTTTGAATATTATAGGAAGTTTACAGTTTCGTAATACTTATGAAATTTATAGTTTGCATCATTTACAATCTAAATAGGTCCAAAAATATATATCATTCCAGGCATCCATTTTTTGTTTGTATCATCTGTCCTTAAATAAAACTCAGACATATGTGTTGCTATCATTTTCTGAACTCTTTGCTTTCACCATAAAGATGGTTTTTATGAATCAGAATACTGATAAGCATGGTATTGTAATACAACAATTAAGCTTTTGTATGAACAATAACGTTCCTCTATTTTCCACTTATTCTTTTATACATGTACAACAATCATCGAATAATAAGATGTATGATTTTATGCATGTAAAATATTATTTTTCACCATGTCAGCAGCCTACTTTTATATTCAAGTTTTAAACTATATCCATCTTTTTTTTCTCGTCTGTTAGTTTTCTTTCTGGTCCATTACTGTCTTATTAGCTGTCTTGTTTAAGATTATATATGCAATATCCTGTCATTCATTCTCATAATCTCTTGAACCTGTCACTATTTTCCTGATCTATGTGCTCTATCATGGCATTAGAAATGTCACCATATCAGTTTCATCTTGTTTTCTTCTCTCTCTCTCTCTCTTTCTCTCCATTTCTACAGTCGTATTAGTAAGAAATAAATATTAGGCGATGTTGACGGTCTAATCTACGAAAAATAGTGCATTAAAATGTCTAATAATATCATTCATAGACTTATTTCTTCTAATTCGTTCATTTCTAAGATTATTTCATTCCTTCTATTTATTTTTTTCAAAAAAGTTTTTCACAATCCGATTTTGCCACAATGGATCATTGGTTCTGAAGTGATTTTCATAAAGTATGTAATTATTTTTCTAACTTATACGGTCAATTTAATGCTGTGTCTTTATAATCTTTCTTTAAGATGTCCAATATTGCATTTGTATTGATATGCTGGATATGCAGTTTATCAGTCATTGCCTTTTTGTTAACAAAAAATTGTTATAATTATTAATTATTATTATATATCTTTAAATGTAACACTGTTAATTTTCTGTGGCTGAACTTGTCACCATTTTTATTCCTTTTAAATTATTATGAGTTGTGTGCAAAATACTCTAGAGACTGACTTTAGAAGCTAATTGACAGTATTGATGCAATTCTTGCAGCTTATATTAGAAGTAAATGGCCAGATGGGACATATGCCATCCCTGCCTCAATGTTCGGTTGTCCTGAGACTGAGGACAGGGGGTGGACATTATCTTACATCAACCTGACCCTCCCAGACTCCGCCCAACGACAGTACTGGAACATTGAAGACCCAAACCTGATCAAAGGCATCATAGAGCCAAACATACTGGGACCATACTATTATCATTCTCTCCAGATGAATTTTTGTATTAAAGTTCAAGCATATCTTAAAGATGAGAGCAATAAAACAACAGTTGAATGGCCTAAAGGTGAATATTGTATATACAGTTTCAACGATGAATGTCCACAAGGTAAGTAAATGCTTGCTTTTATTTCCTTTTCAAATTTAAGAGAATGATTTGAATATGAAACACATCACTGCATTTTACCAAGTCCGCCTGTCAGTTTAATCATGCCAAATATCTAATTTTGCATTTTATAGATAAATTCAACAGTTCAAATGTTGTTTGTGACCGTGACAAATATCATGTTTACTGACGGTAATATCACTTTACATCAAAAAGTTAAGATACACCGATACGCTGAAATAGTATCTTAGGGATAACTCACCTTATGTGAGAAAGATATACTTAAATATAGCAGTACCCAAACCACATTTTCTTGTGTAACTCACCTAATGTTACAAAGTTCAAAGACACACACTGATATGCTGAAAAAAAGTGTCCAAGTCTTTTTAACTTGAAGTCGAAAGGTGTTTTTAATTAAATGTCAAACTTTATTTAGAAAAGTTGTTGCTTGCAGAATAGTTGTGGAACTCAAAATATTAGTATCGTGTAAAGTGTCGATCCTTATCAAAATGATAATTGTGAACCACTGCGAATTTTTTCCTTAACAGAACAGTGTTCTTCTATGAACAGAAGTCCATCATACAGAGTTACTATCGAAAACAGTCATTTCTTCAAGATTTACATTTTTAGGTTTTTTTAACGGCACCTTGACAATATCTGGTTATCAGTTCACACAGCAGGATATAGAGGGCATTTTTCCAGGAGAGACCGGAAGCAATATGAGTCTGATGCTGAAGTTCTGCTGTAGAGAAGATGGTGATTACCGCACATCAGTAAAACTCCCATCAGATTTCCCGTTTGTTTTGTTTCAGGTATAACATCTCCAAATTCCTAAATTTGTCAGACAGTTTGAATGTGTTGAAGATAACTGATAGATTGCAATAACGTTAGTTAACGCCTTAAGGACAATTTCTTATTTTTTGTTTGTTTGTTTTACATCCTATCGAGAATTTTTCACTCAAATTCAGACGCCACCACTTGCCGGTGGATGACTGCAAATTTAGACCTGTACTCGGCACTCACGGCCTTTGTGCAATCTTTTTCGTACCAGCTCCTACGGCGACACGGGACCTCGGTTTATACGATCTCATTCGAAAGACCGGTCTCCACGTCCCGCACTAAGGATTCGAACGTAAGAATCAACTCCTTATTCAGCGACCCTAGAATATACATGTACCTTGAGATTAGTTTTAGCTAGGTATGTTCAACCTATCATGTCCTTAAATTTCTTTTTATAATTATAATAGTCTTGATGATCTTTTGGCAACTTTTTTTTAATATGAATTGAACTGGCATATTTTCCTATCTTTTCATCGGTTGTCTTCCAACTTATTATGTTACAACTCATTCTGATTCAAGTACAAGTACTCTGACGTTGATATTAAAAAGATGCTTGAGTTCCTCATCATTGACAATATGTAGTCTTTGGGGACAAGGTTCTCCAATGATCTACTGGAATTTTCTTGGGTTTTAATTGTGCCCCGTTATTAGCAAACCTGTTTTCCTATTCTTATGAAACGGAATTTTTTCAAAAAACTTCTACATGAAAAGAAGAAGTCTCTTGGTGTGGTTCAAAGTTGCAAGCCCTTCATCGGTACATGGCGACGTCTCAATATGAGTGAAAAATTCTCGAATGGGACATAAAAACAACATACGACCAACTAATCAATCAAGCAATCTTGCTGTGACCTTCAATTCTACATTTAGATATACTGAAGACGTTTTATGAATCAACAATAATTATTTCCACTCATACATTTATTCTATATATTCCAATGAACTTGAAATTAAAGACACCACGGCGCCTGACACATCTGCTTAATATTTGGATATTTTACTAGAGAAAGACATTGAAGGCAAACTTACATCAACACTTTGTGAAAAAAGGTGACTTTAACTTTTCAATCGTCAACTTCCCTTATTTGTATAGCAATATATCATTATCACCAGAATATGCGGTTAATGTCTCCCGGTTCATTCGAAACCAATAACATGTTCTTCGTATGATCAATTACCGTCACGGTAGATCAGTCGGTAGATGGCTTGATTGCTCCGTGATCGGAAGGTCGTGTGTTCGAATTACGGCCGCGACTGACCTAAGTCGATAACAAATAGGTAGTAACTGTTCCTTCGCCAAGCGCTCGGCACTTCGGACTTACAGATGCGGGTCCTTCAGATAAGATCTAAAAAACGGACGCTCCGTGTCACGGTAGGCCTTGGCACGATAAAGAACCCTCACTGCTCAAGGCCCTGAGTGCCGAGTAAAGGTCTTAATTTGAAGCCCTTCACTGGTATATAGTGACGTGTCTATATGAGTGAAGTTCTCGAATGGTACGTAAAACAACACACACAATCAATCAATCGTTCGATCAATTTCTAAAACAAGGTTCACTACTGAAGAAATAAGTAGATAATGCAAAGGATATACAGTCGCATTTAAAGTCATCATTTAGCAATTAAATTGTATGGTCGATAAAATGACCTTGATTGCAATTTAGATACAATTTGTCGTTAGATCGAATGTTGACCAACGTCTTTCATACAAATTGTTAGGCAATTATTTTATTTCTGAATTGACTACGGATTTCAGGTCCGTAGTAACGGGTCCATCAGTGTGTGTATGTGTAAGGAGGGGGGGGGGGGTAGGGCTCCCCAAAAAATCTCACAAGCAACAACAAGAACAAAAATCCACGTAAACTGTCCAAAAACGAAAGTCCTATTTCGTGGGGGGGGGGGGGGGTTACATTTTTGCTCTGATCACTATTTGTATTGTTTCATTGGATTGTTGAGAATGGTTACTAATTGTTATCTCCACGTTTCATACAGTGTAAGGATTTCTTAGGAACTGAAACCATAATGTATCAAGCTTCTTTATTTTTAAGAGTAACTTGAAAGTCATAACCATACATATATAATGAATTAGAGAGTACAGACAGTTTTTAAATGTTTTAATGCTTCATCAACAATTCGTTGGCGTGAGTATGTCCTACTAACTCCACCAAACAACGATGCTTGATGAAACGACAGACTATTTACGTAGGGGAAAAACCTCGACTGATATACTAAAGTAATCATAATCTTCAGACTGCATTTAACTGTATGGATTGCATACAAGTCCTGAGGGACAAACACAAACAAATATTACAAAATCTACTACTGACAACATTTTTATGATTGATATGCTATTGCTTTTAGTGGATCATAATTTAAATTGAATAGCATCGTAAAAGGTATTTCAGTAAAAACTTCATCCTAATTTGTAGAGTATGTCAGCTGATGGCTGCCAGGAAGTGACCTCTATGATCGTTCAGGGGGATTATTTTTACATGCCCAATGAAAACGAGGAATGGCAGTTTGAAGGGGCGTTGCCTATGCTTAATAGAACGGGGATAAATGGTTCTGTAGGCGTGGCTTATTGTTATTACAAACCATATGGTGATTATTCTAAATTCTAGATATATTATCTGTATGACATCCCATTCCAAATGGGATGACATAATAAAGGATGGAAGTCAAGTCGTATTTTAAATAATTCTTAATTTTGTACACTGATATTTGTTAGGATAATACTAGTTTTCTGTCAAATTTCTATTGCTATAATTCTAATCACATCGAACACGATTAAATTAGTAATCTGAAGAGTTGTATTTTCTAAGAGCACCGTGAGTGTTACTATGATACAGACCATGGAAATTCATACAATGGCAGAACAAGTGTTTCCGCTTCCGGAAAGACGTGTTTGATTTGGACAGACTCAGACTTCGACTTCTTTCACAATGATAAAAGGGCTTACCATGAGTTTGATAAAAATTACTGTCGTGCATACGAGTACTATTCCTACAAATCCAGGAAACCGTTGTGTCTTGTTGCGTTTCCAAATGTCAAAGAAGAATGTGACATCCCTATGTGTGGTAGGTATTCATGTAGGCAAAATTTCGAAGGATAAGATTAAGCTTAATTTTAAAGCGATTAACATCAATTTATGTTCATGTTTTTAGTTTGATTTTTGGTCAAATCAGTCTAAATCAAATGCTTTTATGACATGCAATTTGCCATCGTTACCTTGAAATCCATCAATATTTTTTAGCTGAAGAAAAAGACTTACAAGAATTTGGAAAATTTAAACCTTTTCGAAGTGTTCTACACGCTGGAGATAACTTTCCGGATTATGCTGTAGATGGATTTGTAGGTAGGTCAAAAAATGTCAAGATAACTCTTCAGTTGCTGTTTCTATATCAAGATCTTGTTATAGAAACTTTTTGAACTTCTCTAATCATCTGACTGTTTTCAGATCCATTGTAAAGTAGTTGTTGCATTTCAGATAATCTCTACAAACAGAAAATACTAGAAAATATGTATAAAGCAATCACTGAACATTCAATTATTTTGCTCAGATTGTAAACTTGACTATGTGTATTAAATTTTCATGATAAGGAAAAAAAGTTTTATCATCGTTTTGAGGAATTATCGGCATTTTAAATCATATCTTTTGTATTTGGGAAAAACTTTTTTATTTATTTATATAATTTATTTTTGTTTTTAAGGCTTATATGTAAGGTAATTTGTTAAATGTCTCTTTTTTGTCTAAAAGGGATTTTACCCACGAAAATATTTTAATGCTCATATATTATATGACCAATGTTCATGTCTGATTATCCGTCTCTTCACTTTCTCGTGCCCGGGGCTTGTCTTTCACACTATGAGAGACCATCAACTTTTTGCAATAAGCTCTTGTTGAAATCATTTTAGCATACATATAGTCAATTTGTTTCCAAAAAAAAGTTATGCAAAAAATGATGCTCAAAATGTCGGGAGTGCACCCCTTTTAGTGACATTTTGAAAATTCAATATTTTTGAAGATCTATGAAATAAATAATAATGGTTTATGTGGGAAATAAAGATTTACCTGACAGAGTATGTAATGAAGCTTTCATATAAATTTCATCTTTTCTTGCCAAGTGGTTCTTGAGAAGAAGACTTTTAAAAGATGCCACCAAATTTTCACGAATTCTTAATTATCTCCCCTTGAAAGAAGGTGTGATACTTCCTGTGAACAAACTTGAATTCCCTTCACCCAAGGATGCATGCTTTGTGACAAGTTTGGTTGAAATTGGCCCAGTGGTTCTTGAGAAGAAGTCGAAATTAAATGTGAAAAGTTTACAGACGACAACGACGGACGACAGACAGACGCCGGACACTCTTTGATCAGAAAAGCTCACTTGAGCCTTCGGCTCAGGTGAACTAAAAATTTAATTTGTGATCATTAATTTTGAATTCACCCTAATATCTCCCACAGTAGGAAACCTAGAATAATTAGATTTTATCTGTTTGATTGTCATCGGGGGTTGTCCTGTTTAGCAAATCAAAACTAGGTTTCTTAACCTCATTTTGTTGTTCTATGGCTATAATATTCAAAGTAATGTAAATCATATACATGTATAATTACTCATTATAAGACCATGAGCCATCAAAGCTTATCAATTAAACCATGTTGGGAAAAATATGTCAGGATCTAAAAGTAGGACAAAGTGATCTCATTTCGGAATTCCTATAGATTATACAGTCAAATCGTTTCTTAATTATACACTCAATATTTTAGTGAGTTACCAAAGCCAATGGGGTTGGGAATCAGGCACAGTCTATTTAAACGTTCTCTCTTTTACAGTATTACATGAATCAATGCATGAATATTTTTTGAGATTAGTCGATATTTGATTACTTTATCTTAATCTTTAAAAGCTGATTGAAATCATACACGCATTCTTTTTAATAATAATAAAAAATACAGATACCCTGAACTCGTTTGTTTCCAATCGACCTTTGATGAAACCTTGGTACCAAATTGATCTACAGGAAAATATAGAGGTTCATGCCATAATTATTTATCGTTATGCAAGTAAGTTGATATTTTTAGTTAAAAAGGTAGTATGTACACTGCGGAACATCATCTAGCTTCAGTGTGAAACTGTTATTTTATTATCCTGTTCAAACGGAATACTTCATGTACAAGTTACATAAAATATTATTATACGTACGTAAACGGTCCTTTATACCGAAGGTGAAGAGTTCTGAAACGATCACTTCCATAAAGTTAAATATGATATACACACACATGTATATTGATTTTTTAAAAAAAGGAATGAAAAGTAAGATAAATATCTTTTTTGAGGAGGCGAATCGTAAACGGACCCAAAACTGATGAAATAAATAAAAACAATTTTTCTTTCTTGTGTTCAGCATATTTCCCGAATAATCTGCGGTATCTTGGCACCTACGTCAGCAAGAATCAGTGGGATTTCATGAACTATGGCGCTGTTCGATGTGACGACATCCGATTACCGGGATACTCCAGGGTATTTCGTTATCAATGCAGGCGTCCGGTGGTGGGTCAATACATAACCATCCGGAACTTTGACTTCACACAACCAGACCATAATCCAGGCAACTTTTTCAAAATGGAAATTAACGAAATTAAAATTCTTGGAAAATGTAAGCATGGTTTCCAATGAGAATGTCAAGAAAAAGATCTTTATGGAGGGTTATAGATCTAGAAGTTTTGATAATCACTATATCTCTATTATTAGAGCATTTATTTTAAAAGATTGTGATTTAAATAAATCTTTTGTTGTATACTTGCATTTTTTTAAAAACAAAATGATAATTGCATTAGTTTTATTTCATTCCATAGGCACATATATCAATGACTTCAAATGAGCAAAGTTTTGGACATTATTTTTAGAATTAATTGCTCAAGAATATGATATTTATTGTCGTTAAAGTAAACAAATAAACTGATCCTCACAAGGATTTCTAGGATTCCTCGTCTAACATATGCAACAACAATATGCATTTGAACAGAACACAAATATATATCTAAATACATCAAAAGTGAAATAAGGACCCTCTTCATTTTTCATTCAGTTTTCAATTAAGCTATAATGAAAACGTTATAAATTTTAAATTGTGCAATTCTAATGAATGAAATTGATTAAAAAAACAACTCTTTTTTCCCTCTCCTTCCATGATGAAAAAGGTGAAAGTAACGAAGAGTAATCATAGTTTAACTCAAACAACCAGTAATGAATACGAATTGTGAAGAGAACACTGACCCCTAAAACCCCATTGGTGCAATAAGGTAGCTAGGAGGTGTAAACATCCTCTAACTAATCTAAGGATAAACAATAGTGTTGTCTTGAACGAAATTCGTTAATTGATGCCATAAAAATGATAAAAGTATATCAAAATTTGATTTTCAACAATGACAATTTATAAACTAAAATGCATTCAGTTTTCTCTGTTTCTAAGCTACAGCCTGTGGACGACCTCTGGGTATGGCCTCTGGCAATATCTATGACTATCAGCTGGGGGCAACATCTGAAGACACAGAAGGGGTTGAAGTGATACCACTTTCATTTCGAGGGCGATTGTATCACCCGGACCCAGGATGGTGTACTTCAAAGAAGGATAAACTTCCTTGGTTCATGGTGTGTATAATTGATTTTAGTTTCTAAAATGCTTTTATTCAGGGTTTCTTTGTGGAGTTTTCGGCGATTTAAACATGTAAATGCTGTCAGACACGGGTCAGGTAAGACGACCAGAATAGAATACAACTTTCCCTGACATAACATTTTATGATTGAGTAGTCTGTCTGAAATTGTTGATCTATGGTTTTATTATATTATCTCGAAATGGTGTTATGTTTAATATGTAGTTTTATATTAAATTCCTGCTTGCAGACCAAATGTACAACTTGTTATGTAGGTTTTGTGCATTGCAGATTGACTTGATTATACCAACTGTAATCCAAGGAATTATAATGCAGGGTTGGATATCGGGTATAGAAACTAAATACATTCAATCATTCCAAGTGTCTTATGGAGTAACGAGAAGGAAGATGCTACAATATAGGGCCTCACCTGGTACTTTTAAAGTAGGTGTTTCATTTTTCATTTATGTATTACAGCAACAGTATCACAGTATCAAAAGTGGCAATACATAGACTGTATTAATTGAATTTTTCTATGAGAAAAATGCAAGGAAAAGGATACTCACTCCCGCCCCAACAAGTGCTGAACTTTCGACATGCGGAATCTGTCTCCTATAACAGTGCAGAAACAGCGTGCTAAACCGCTTGTCCATCTACGCAAGTCAAACAATTTGCTTATATTTCCGATGGCATTCACACGGCGCCGCCTTACATGGCATGGTTATTGAAAATGGAAGTGAGATACAGCTTTTGGGACATAATTTTTGAGCAGAGGGTCGTTTCCGATACACTGCAATGAAATTAACATATTATACAAAGCTCGTTTAATTTACAATAACTTTTAAACTATCATAGCCGCCCTAAGTGAAGAAATATATTAATCCAGAAAGCCAAGAGAAATTCACTTCATAAGGATACTCACATATAATGTTAATATTCATTTTTATTTGATCTTTAGACCTTTGTTATTGATACAACAGTAGAAGTGACCACCCCACAGACGTTTTTGTTTCACACGGACATCCTGGCAAGATATATCAAAATACACCCAATAGTAGCAGGTGGTCACCAGGCTTGTTTCAAGACAGAAGTCATAGGATGCCAAAAACAATGTATAGTTTATATTTAAAGTTAATTTGAACAGTAAAAATATACAAGACATAATAAAATTTAGCACAATATCGCACTGATGATTTGGAAGTGTTAAAGGGAAGTATTCTGATTGCTCTCAGAAAATTGTCATCTTCCCAATTACTATTTTAAAACAATATCTTATTGTTGTTCCATAAGTTTTAGGAATTCTCTGTAATCTAAGAACTGCTTTAACAATCCTTTGGCAAGAAAAATAGCAACAAAAGTTTTAATGAAAATTTGACAGACTTTTATCATGAAAAGTATTCAAATGTGTTGTCTATTTGTAATGGAATTAAATATCTCTTTTCAGTGCAAAGGGACAAAAAATGTCAAAATGGCATTGTTGATTTTGGATTTGAAGAACTAAAACGATTTTCTTACTGGCTTGAAAAAGAGGACAATTCTCCGTTTGATGTTAAAAATATATCAAGCATCAAAGGCTGTAGACAGTTCTGCGTAAGAAATAACTGCACGGCCCTCTCTTTTCAGAAGTATACTTCATCTCCGAAGTGTTCTTTGAGTTTTGGGGACAGATATCATCCAACAAGAATGATGTCCTGGGTTCAAACTGGCTCTACTAAACACTATGCCGCACATCGTCTTTGCTTTAAAGGTATATCAATTTAAAAGATTTTTTTTAAAAAATGACGGGCTTTTGCATTATCAATATATTATAAGAGATCTCTTCAGTGTAAAATAAAAAAAAACTAATAAAATTATTTTAAATCCATTTTAGGTTACCTTCTCTTTATAAATCTGAAATATCTTATACTATTAAAAAATCATTCATGATTTAGACTTGCTTTTTCAGACGCAAAACATATCCTTCCATGTATCTTTTCAATAAATCTTCAACAAAGAGGGGAGGCTGTAATTAGATCACCGGGTTTCCCATTTAGTTATGGACAGGGGCTTAATTGTACTTGGAATATTTATGCTGGAGATTCGAATTTTGTAAAGCTGGAGATAGTTTACATACATTTGGCAAAATCGACTACAAAAATAGCATTGAAAGAGGTAATCCATATTTTTAAGGTATCTTGAATTTACAACTTTTTCGAAAAAATAATTTAAAAAATTCGTAATTTTTAAATATCCTTTCAGTAAACATGATTTCCTTTGTGGTTTCTATCTCTTATATGATTTTGTCAAAATATATTAATTTCATAATTTAAATTTTTTTCATAGCTCGGAATTTTCGATATAAATCCTGGAAAATGCAAAGATAGTTTACATATAATCGAACATTCAAACACCATTGAGATTTCTGCTGATACACAGAGTGACGTTCGAGACACCAATGTGATCTCTTCTGGGAACAATATATCAGTAAGACTGACAACCTGCTTTCAAATGTCTGCAGAACAGAAAGAAAAGAATTTCGAAATCAAAGTCACAAAATCAGGTACTATACTATAGATATTTATTTCTACAAACTGACTAACGAGGCATACATTTTTGGTAAAAACAATGAAAACTCGTGTTATTTTACTCTCATAAATTATACAATGAAAAATGAAGAAACTTAGTTTAAAATATGAATTTTTTTTCAATATCAGACAAATGAAATATATCTAGATTGTCTACTGTCTCTCAGAAAATGGTAATTTACATATTCTCTGCCTCTTCTCTAAAATAATATTAAATTGAATATGGGTACCCAGATTACTTTTCACACGATTTCAAATTGAATGCCATGAAGATCTTCCTGTTCTACTTAATTTAACTATAGCCTTAAAGTAAGTTTAGATTATTTTTGATGTCTTAATTGATCTAGCACAAAACTCCTTTACTACATCTTTATCGTAAAAAGAGGTATAGCAAGATTAATCGAAGATTGGAAGTACATGTACGTTTCAGAATTTTTGAGGGGTTTATGCGTTATCATAAAATGAGACATTTTAGATAGATGGATAGATCTCGTACTAAATCGCAACATGATTTATGAATTAAGTTGGCTAGACTTTGTTAACTCTTAAAATATTCCTTTTTTATATTTTGTATTTGAAAAGCCCACAAGGCTTGTATGTACTCGTACACTATGCCTCCTTTAACAATAAACAACGATAATTTAAAGTAAGTGGATCAAATATTGTGGAATTGTTCAGTTATTCATCGAAGCAAATGAATTTTTATGCAAGAGCTACACAGGTATTTTGAAGCAACATTAATAACGTTATTTTCACTGTTGCAGTTCTAACATTGTAAATAACAAATATGATATAACTGAATTATCTGACATAGATAAACCAGGCTGTGGAATATCTGAAGAAGGATGTGCAGTCACCTGTAGACAGCAATCAGCCTACATAGCTACTAACAGATATCCCGCCCCTTATAAAGCAGATGAAACCTGCATATGGAAGATAGAAGGGACGTTTGGGCAATATGTAGACCTCAGTCTTCTCCACTTAGATGTTATCAATGGAGACGCAACCTGTTCAAACTCCTATATTGCTATCTACGATATTGACCTCAATGAGAGTGAGGTGTTACTTGGAAGATTTTGTAAAGAAAACAGACCATATAGAAACATCACATCAAGATGGCACCGTATGAGAGTTGAATTTCATTCAGGAAATGAGGAAAAACAAGGACAAGGATTTTTAGGGTTGTATGCATTGATAAATTTTACTCAAAGTTATTTGGATACTGGAAGTGGAGGTAAGTCTTTCATTAGAAATGACACTCTGCTTTTCTTTCATAAAAATTGTTAAAATTCAAAATAATGAATAACTATTTTAATCGTGTATTTTGTGGATGAAACTCTTTTGCTATTGTAATCAACGTCTAATGCAATCTAAAGCACGACATAACAAATATAATTATGTTTTCAGAATGTCCAGGCGCCTGGTATTACAACAATGGGAGTTGCTATAGAATATTCTCTGGTGACGAAGGTATCACGTGGCAGAAAGCAAATCACAAATGTATTCAACAGAATGGAAGCCTTGTCAGTATTGCTTCAAAACAGGAACTTTCCTTCATTCATTTCCTTTTGACGAATGCTATGAACATCACTCGCGACTGGGAGATTTATGTTGGTTTGTTTGTTTTCTTCATCTTAGTAATTCTTCCAATGTGTACTTATTCTAGACCTCAATGATATCAATAACAATATCAGTCAAAATGAGTAAAATATATTTCTTGATCATGTTCTTGTTCATGATTTTGTTATCTTTCTCTAGGTCTTAGAAAGATCTACTCTGAAGAAACAGGCGAACTGAAGTACCTGTGGTCGGATGGAAACCCTTTAACATTTACTGCATGGTATAGTAATATGATCAAGCTAGAAGTCAATGCCCGGGTTGGCATTTAAAATACTGTTCAATCTAAGTGATGGCATTAAGATTCTTAGGACTTCAAACCCACTTTGGTAATGAAAAAAGAATTCATAAGAAGAGCACATTCAAATTCTGATTATGTCAGACTTACATTGTTTGCATAAAATACATTGCCCACTTGAAAAGGGGATGCTTACTCCTTCATGGCATGTACCTGATTCCACTCCTGGTGCTTCTGGTCTCCTGATCTCCATTTGTATCGTTTTATTAGATTCTGAGCTTGATCACTTTTCTTACATTTTCTGGAAAATAGAACTGGTCAAAACTTTTTAACCTAATCCTTCTTCTAAATAATGTAAATCACAGGCAGCATCCGAAATATGAATGTTATAGGTATCTCTTGATGCAATATCTATGTAAATTTGGTTTTTCTTTAAACCATGGTTTTACTCTGAATATGTGGAAAAGACGTCTGTTGAAGCAACTGAAATATCAGTAGTAAAATTCATACCTCTTTGAAGGACCTATTGTTTGATTGACGTAAGACATATGTAACTTCAGAATCTTTTTTTTTTTTTTTTTTAATTGTTTTATTTTTTCAACACAATTCATTATATACAAAATGTCCAATATCTTTTCTTTAACAGAATTGTGTGTATAAATAGAGAGAGAGAGAGAGAGAGAAAGAGAGAGAGAGAGAGAGAGAGAGAGAGAGAGAGTTACAAAAATAATTGGTTCCACCTATTCCACTGATTGTCAAATTTCTCTTTTTCACCATTTTTATATGATATATATTTTTGTGTTTGGTAAAAATAACTCAAGTGTGATATCGCAGAGTGCACATTTAGAGGTTTTTTAGTGCATCTAGAAGTATAAATATAATATTTCAACCATAAGATTAAGATATTAGCTATTTCATTATTTTTTCCTCCCATGCCTAAAATGAATGATTTTTTTGTTATGGACAAATGGAGGTTTTTCTGCTGGAGATAATATTCAAAGTTTTCAAGGAGTGATTGTACAAGATCACATTCCCATAAGATATGTTCAATTGTCTCTTCTTCTTTTTGACAAAAAGTACATTGCTTTGAAACAACCTTTTTAATTTTGAATAAAAAAGAATTTGTTGCCAATATTTTATTTAAAATTCTGTACTGAAACCACTGGAGTTTACAGTTTTTTGTGACTTGAAATGGTAATTTATGAATTATTTTGCATTCCTTACTATCCAAATCAAATAATTCAATCCATTTTTTGTAACCAGCTGTTATAGAAGAATTTTTATTGAGAATGTCATAGAAATTTTTTGATTTTTTGCATTTTGATACAAGATAAAAGTTAGACATAATAAGAGAATTTTCTGATTTTTGTAAATTTTTATCAAAATTGCTCCTCTTTATCCAAGCTTTAACTGCATGGATCAAGCTAGAATACTCTAAAAAATTAATCTTTATATCTGGATAAGTATTGCAAAAGCATTCATAGCTATAAAAAAGCCATCTACTCCAATAATGTCATTAATATATCTAATATTATTGTCAAAAAGTTTTTTACTGTAAAAGGTTTTCCCTCCAATATGGACCATAGGGTTATAAAACAGTGGAGAGTCTACAGTAGCATCAGAATCAGTACAAATTTTATTCAAATCAACCCAGGACTTGAACACATCAATCCAGAATTTATTTTTTAAGGTTTTCATAAGTTGAGTGATGTATTCAATACCACAGGATGCAAATTTATATATATTCATATTTGGGATGAAATTTTCCCACCCTTTATTTGTAACAACTAGATGTCTTATCCAAACTAATTTCAAAGAAACAATGAAAGCATTTAAATTTATCATTTTCAGTCCTCCATCTTCATATTTTTTAACAATGACACCTTTCTTAACTCTATGAGTTGAATTATTCCATAAGAATGAGAAAAAAAGTTTTTCTAATTCTTTACAATAAGAATTAGATGGATTTGGGATTGACATAAATAAATGATTTAATATAGGTAAAGCCAGTGTCTTTATAACAGTAATTTTTCCAATTGGAGTTAAAAACCTTTTTCCCCATTGACTAAGAATAGACTTGATTTGCACTAGCTTTGGTTGATAATTTATTTCACACATTTTATCTAGGTCAACATCAAAATTTATCCCAAATAAAGTAAATCTAGTAGTTCCCCAATTAAGTTGATAATTTGGGATTAAAACCTCATCACTGTATTTTTTGGATCCAATCCACACAGTATGTGTTTTTGAGAAGTTAATGCATAATCCAGACATATCTGAAAATGTGTTCAAAGTTTTCAATGTTTCTAAAAGAGACTCCTCACTTCCATCAAGAATAAGGGAAGTATCATCTGCCAGTTGAGAGATCTTTTTTTCTACATTTCTAATGGTAATACCTTTTATTTTTTTATTTTTCCTAATTTATATGGCTAGAATCTCTGCACAGACCAAAAAAATATATGGAGACAAGGGGTCTCCTTGTCTGCATCCCCTCTGAATATCAATTACATCAGAAAAATTACCACCTTGATTAACAGTAGCTTTAATATCCGTGTAAAAAAGAGTGACCCATTTTCTGATGGAAGGGCCGAAATTGAAAAAATGTAATGCTTTCTGTATGAAGTTCCAGGAAAGAGAGTCAAAAGCTTTCTCAAAATCGATCAGTAATAAAAGTCCTGGAATATCTTCTTCTGTAAAGTGCATTATATCATATATCAATCTTATGTTTTCTCCAATATATCTGTTGGAGATAAAACCAGTTTGGTCAGGGTTGATTATTATATCTAAATATTTTTTAAATCTGTTTGCAATGGAGCCAGATGCTATTTTATATACAGTATTTAGCAGTGTAATAGGACGCCAGTTTTTAAGAAAATGTCTTGGCTTGTCACCTTTAGGTAATAATGTTATAACTCCATGTCTTTGTGTAATAGACATGATATCATTCCTGTAACCATAGTTAATAGATCTTACGACAAAACTTCAGAATCTTAATGTGCCAATTAATTGCAACATCCATAGCATGACTAGTAAATTGTGTCATAAGATGCAACATCTAATCCAGGTCGTTTAAAGTAGCATTTTTGTCATCACAACTCATACTCTTGTATGTCAAGTCGCTAACAACTGTGTATGATTGGTCATATCATTTTAATGCTTATCAATTCTGATTTCTTGTCCAGGTATATTAAAGGATGTTGTATGGAAGTTACATTTGTGATTGTAATTTGGAACTCCTCTTAATTTTATTTATACTTTAAATTAATTGAATTACGAAGTACTAGATCTTTTAAATTTGGGCAATTTTTTTAATGCTGCCACATTGTTAAGAAAAAAATAGTGATATAAGACATTTTTTTCATGTCTGTATTTTTACGTTCACTTTCTGTATGTTTTTTCTCAGTATCACGTACTTGTTACTCTGATGAGCCAGTTGGCTTAAGGAAATAAAGAAACTTAAATCTTTTGAGGTTTCATGGTGACAACTTCAAAGATCGCCAACCTAATGGGGTTCATAATGAGCTTTGTACCAGCATCAAATTCTCCAGTATCCACTCTATGAACGATTGGCACGACACTGCCTGTGCTTACAATAAAATCCAAAGCTTCATGTGTGAAATAGATATTAGCAAACAAAATGGTAAGTTTAAAGAAATAATATGTCCCATTGTGTCTAATTGGTCTGATGTTTATTTAAATGCACTAATTTTATATATATATGATTTTTTTAAAGTTTGAAATAGGATTAATTCCTTTCTTTTCTACAGTACGCCTATCTCGATTTTCTAGCAAGTAAACACGTATTTAACATTGCATAACTTACCCTTTTTAAATAATGGATGGATATTTTATAAATATATATGACGCTCGGTGCATTTTTCTCAGAGACCATAAATAGGAGGAATTGGTGGGGAAATAGTTCTGTTGAGTCACAGTCTGCAAGGTTGGGTAACATTCTGTTCCAGTGTGAGAACACAGAATTGATCAGCAGACTGTTTGTATGTGACGGAATGGAGGACTGCAGTGACGGAACAGATGAGGCAAACTGCTGTAAGCTTATTTCTCTCTTTTTTATATATATAATGATAGGATTTATTTATTTAACTGTAAAACACGCACGTATTTGAAGCCAAATGGAAAGAGTCGTCGTATTCGTTTTGAAAGTATTTCTTACATTATATATATTTCATTATCAAAGCTACAACGTGTACAGAAACACAGTTCCAATGCAACAGTGGTGACTGTATTTCTATCAGTCTGTATTGTGACTTTGTCAGCCATTGTCCAGATAACTCCGATGAAGCCGGTTGTAGTAAGTATAAATAAATCGTATTGAAATAAGTCTACGTTTAGAATTAAAGGCAAATGCACGTAAACATTTCATAGTTTCATTTCAAATACACGAGAATTATTATTATGTTTGTTTGTTTGTTGCTAAACGTCCCTTGGAGAATTTTTCACTCATATTGAGACGCCACCACTTGCCGATGGATAGCTGCAAATTTAGACCTGTACTCGGCACTTACGGCCTTTGAGCAGTGAGGGATCTTTTTTTAAGTGCCAGAACCTACTACGACATGGAACATCGATTTATACGGTCTCATCCGAAGGACCGGTCTCCACGTTTCTCAGAAGGATTCGAACCCGCGGCATAAGGATCAACTCCTTACTCCGCGACTCTAGAGCGAACGCTCTATAATCACTGCACTTCGCTGGCGACTGTAATTATGAATGACCTGTATCAATTGATTATTTTATGATACAATATTGTGCCACGGCAAAACCTCTCGTACGAAATAATACTTTTAATTGCATTGTTTACAAGTCAGAACACCATGTACAGAAAATGAATGGAAATGTTATTGCGGTCAATGTATTCCAGCAAGCAATCGGTGTGATATGAAAATAGATTGTGTTGATGAAAGCGACGAGAAATATTGCGGTAGGCGATTTTCATACATTTATTAAGGAAAAAGTACAGTTGAACTTAAGTATTTCAACACTGATATGTTCAATATTTAGGCTAGGTTATATTGCATTGAGGTTTTATTCACAAACTTATCATGAGTATGGATCTTAACTTCTTTACATTTCAATTTTATTTTCAATCTAGCTTAAGATATCAAGCTTTTGCTGGTATATTCTTCATTGAGCAAAATTGATCAACTTGTTATTTGGTCTGATTCGATATTATTTTAGTGAATTGTAACAATGGATTTGAATGCTACGACCAAACCTGTCTACACCCCTCCAAAGTCTGTGATGGTTTTATTGACTGTAGTGGATTTTTCGCAGAGGATGAATCTCAAAATTGTAAAAACACTGTCCAGAGATCGTGTAAAGACTGGTGGGGACTGGGCAGAAGCGAGAATGGAGAATACCTTGTTAGCATGGGTAAATCTTCCAAGTTCATTTTCTCTAGTAGGGGCTTTTTTCTCTTCATATGATTGGTGTATGTTGTTTTTGAGATTTTTCACTCATAAAGACACGCCACCATATACCGGTGAATGGCTTCAAATTTAGACCTATCCTCGACTCTCAGGGCAATTGAGCAGTGAGGGTTCTTTATCGTACCAACGCCTACCGTGACCTGGGGCACTTAAGATAAGTAAAAGTTTAAGAACAAAAAATGGCATTCAATATAGATATACATATATTTGTATTTTAGGCTTAGATCCGTCAAAAGTCGAATGCCAGTTTATGAAAACCAACGACCATGTTAGTGTTCGAACAGTAATTCATCATTCCAAGGAAGAAACAATATACACGAGCTTGTCTGAGGTGGACACCACACTGAAGTACACTGCAAATCAAGCACAAATAGCAAAACTTAAGGAAACGAACAGATGTAGCCAGGAAGTAAGGGTACGCTGTCACTATATCTACATCAACATCGATGTCATGTTGGAGGGGCAAAACGGACAACGTCTTCACACGAGTTTTGGGGATCCACAAGACAACTGTTCCTGCCCTTTTGTAAATAAATGTGAAGAGGGAAAAATAAAGTACGCCAATTACTAACCATAATTAAGACCTAAATAACCCTGTTCATATAATTTTAGCATTAAGGACATAGGCAACGTACCTTTCCTACTGATAATTTTTCAAGATATTTTTAATTGAAGATTATAGTGCCACAAATGTTCGTAGACAAAAAATCAGCATGCATCACCAGGGGTTTTGAAAAGATATCAATTAATGAAAATTCTTGTATAATTCAAAGAAAAGTGCACAAATATTACTGAACATATATTCTTGATATTTTGTTTATCCAAAGTTGTTTTAGAAGAAGTGTACAACAGCATATATAGACATAAAATGTAGCACACAGTTCCTTTAAGTATTGGAACTCTTCAACTCCAGGGGAAAAGACAATAAAGTACAAACTATGTTGCGTATGTCCTTAAGTATTAGGCGAAATCACGACATCGAAGCTATTTTATCTAGACAAACATTTTATGCTCTGCTTATACTTTTTTTGATTTCGTTCAGCATGTAAACAATTGAGTTCAATTTCTTTCATAATAGACAAGAAAAATTCAATAACTATTATGTAATGAAAAGAACAATTGCTGGACAAATTTACCTTTTTCCCAATTTCCCCCCTTTTTTTCTTTGATAACTTCTTAAAATGCTAGAAATTCTCTTAAGTTATAATAAGGTTGTTTCATTTATACACCTAGATGTAACTGTAACTCCACGCTGGGTGAATGGTATGGTGCTGAAACCACAGAAGTTAGAGAGGACGCTGGGATTATAACCAACCATTCAGTTCTGCCTATCAAGAAAGTATTCATCAACCGTCCAGGGGAAAATAAGTTCATTAAGTTAAATGTTGGACCTCTTATATGTACAGAAGGTACATTGTGTTTGTTTTACTATTCTTTTAATTGAAAAAAATTGTTATACTTATAATAGTATGTTTTCAAGAAAGCCATTAATACAAAATGAATCATGCCAATGTATTAATATTGCATGGTTTTTATGTTCCCATAGATCGAAGATCAGAATAATGCATAATGTGTATGTCTGAATTCTGCCTGCAAATACTGATATTTGGCTTTAAGTTATGGACCGTTGTAGGCACACGAGTTTATAACTCATATTCAGCTATCTATGTCCTTTCATATGTAGTAAGCGCCAAGCCTTGTTTACATCTGTTATTTGGTATTAATATACATGTATATAAATAACTACTCGATTGAGATCGTACAACATATGCATGTATGAATATAGAAAGATGAGTTTGTATAGCCTAGGAGGTAAACACAAACGTCGAGATGATTCAGAGTGAAATTATAAAATATCTACTATATCGGGATGACAGGAAGAGAAATTTTATTTATGCATTATATATAGGATTTGATAGATAACAATAGCATCGCTTATACTTATATTGACAGTGCAAAAGCACCGGATAATCAGTAAAATTCGGGCAAAATACAACAATTCTACAACACGTGTTTGTCGAATACCAACATCAATAATTAATTTTTTTCTCATGCTGAAATCGCAATTGAATTTTAATTTTATATTAGTCGTTTGAAAACAAAATTAAATAACAATCTTCCTAGTAAAATTTACAGAGCAAAATTTTAAAAAATATAAGTAGGTCACAATATTTGACGATAATTGTGGCAAATTTAATTGAGAATGATGCCCGATGAAATCCCTCTAATCACGTGTAGCATGTTAGGACAATTTGGTCATGTTTTGATGGGAGGCTATTTGTGTTTATCATTCTGAATACGGTACTTCACAATATTTTGAAACTAAGTGTATCTATAACAATGTACATATGTATCGTCAAAGAATGGATCTTGCTGCCAAACTTATATTCTAAGCAACTGGCTTCTGCATTTTAAAAGAATTTATTCCATTCATGGCCGTAAGAACCGGGGGGGGGGGGGGGGCACGGAGGGGCCGTGTCCCCCAATAATTTTGCTGATATATAGATTACTATAGTAAACAAAGATACTATATGCTTGTGCCCCCTCAATAAAAACGTCTGATGACTTTTTTTATTATTCGCTTGTCAAGGAATTTTTTTGTAGTCGATGACCTTTTTTTCTTTTGCTTGTCAGGAAATTTTTGGTACGCCCCCTCAACTGACAACTGAAAATGTATGGCTGTGCCCCCCCCCCCCCCACAACTGAATTTGCTACCTATAGGCCTGTCATTCTTTGAAATATGCTTAAGAATGCCTGCACATGTATATCAAGTTAAAAACATTAATTTCCAATAAATATCGGACCTCATTTAACCTTGTGCGATTTTTGAAAAACATATTTGACACCATCCCAGTTTTGCAGTAGCTTTTTCTTAGTTGAAAACATGATCAGCTTATTTAAAATGCATTTTTTTTTTCAGAGACAGATAATGTAAACATAGACTTCCTCTGTCGAACAGGGAAGATTGTGCCAATCTCCCAACGATGCATTCTTGATTATGACGTATACGGTGACATCTTAGGGTGTCGAGATTTATCACATCTAGACAACTGTGGTTCGTTTTCTTAGCATCTGTATGATTCTAGAGACAATATGTGAAGACATTTCCTAAACAGAAATGCTTTATCTATTGAAACACACAATTACGTCTTTCAGAGTCAATACCATGTCCTTCAGGTTATATGAAATGTCCCGGAAGTTTCTGTATTCCTCCACGGTTGATCTGTGACGGCGAGAAGCACTGCGAAAATGGTGTGGACGAAATTCAATGTGGTATACAATATTCCTTTAGTTTTTATTTCTTGAATTGAAACTAGTATAATTTAATATACTTGTTTTGCAATTTGTATCCTAAACCTATAATAATAAACTCCATTGCTTTAGTCGATTTCCTCAGGCTCAGGGAATACATGTCTTTACTAATAAAACAGTCAGGGTTTTTTTTTATCGACTTGGATTTGAGATTAAAACTATTGATTTTTATATTCAATTATACCATGATTTTTGTAAATATATGTCTAGTTCTATTTACGATTTTTTGGAAATAAAAAAAAAATGGGATACCGTCCTATTGATTTAATGCTTTGTTTTGTAATTTAATATTTTTATATATTTCACGTAACAAAAACGTATTGAGGAATTATAATGACAGAACAGATTTCAATATATCTCTAAATTCATGCAGAAATTTTATGCAAACTAGACTCGTGACATATACGCATTTGACACTTTCTTACATGTTTATTGTATACTTCCTTACAGAGTCTTGTCCAGGGCTGTACCGATGCAAAAGTAGCACAATCTGCTTGAATCCGAGTAAGCTATGTGACAACATTACCTTTTGTCCTCTTCGCGATGACGAACTTCTGTGTCACATCACGTGTCCAGATAAATGCCATTGTGATGGTCTCTCGGGCGTTTGTAGAGATATTCAAAATAAAAGTACAACTGAACTTCCAAGTCAACTGAGATATTTAGACCTCAGTGAAAATAATTTCAGCAATGGTTTACTTTCTCTGAAACATTTAAAACATCTAGTCAGATTATTCATAGCAGATTGTGGATTGACATCTATTGAATCATATACCTTTATCAGTCAAAGAAATTTGTTGATACTTGATCTTAGAAATAATAAAATAACCCAATTACACAGTAATGCATTCACAGGACTAGTTTCATTGAAAGTATTAAAGATGGAAGGAAACGGTCGTTTGACTGAAATATCAGATTTGGCATTTCTTGGATTGCGAAGTCTACCTACATTTGCTTTAACAAATTCCCGTTTGTGGAATATTCGACAAAATACTCTAGTGGGGCTACAGAATGTTAGACAGCTGAATTTATCTGCAAATCGTATTCGCTATATTTCGGACTTTGCGTTTCAAAACTTGTCTGATGTAAGAGTTTTGGATCTTCGAAGAAACCACGTAAAGCAATTTTCCTCCCAAATCTTTGATGGCCTTTTTAATCTCGAGAAATTATATACAGATTCGTATGCATTCTGTTGTTTGAAACCTCAGTCAGTCAAAGAATGCTTACCAAATGAAGATGAATTTTCTTCGTGTGATGACCTCATGAGAAATGACATCCTTTCGTCATTCATGTGGGTCATTGGATTTTGTTCTTTGTTCGGAAATCTTGGAGTTTTCGTCTTTAAAGTATGTTTTGACTCACATACATTAAAGAAAAGTCATGGAATTTTTATCACGAATTTAAGTGTATCAGATTTTTTAATGGGCATATACTTGATAATTATTGCATCTGCTGACCAGTACTATCGGGGAAGGTACATCTGGAATGATATACGTTGGAGAGAGAGTACAGCATGCCAAATAGCAGGCATGCTTGCTACGATCTCGAGTGAAACGTCAGTATTTTTGCTGTGCCTTATTACAGTGGATCGTCTTATAGCCATCAAATTCCCCTTCGGTCAATTAAGGTTCACTAGAGCCAGAGCTCTTTTATGTATTGGAACTCTATGGAGTGCAACCATTTTGCTGTCTGCAATCCCATTGATTCCCGGAGATTACTTCCAAGGAAAGTTCTTTTCTCGATCCGTCGTATGTCTTGCTCTACCATTAACTAGAGACAGACCTGCTGGATGGGAGTACTCCACAGCAATCTTCATTATACTTAATTTCCTGCTCTTTCTGATCATTGCATCGGGACAGTGTTTGATATATAGAGAAATATCAAATACAGCTTCGAAGGTGAATTCCAACAGAAGGACCCAAGAAGTGGTCATTGCTCGTGGATTATTCTTGATAGTTTTGTCTGACTTCCTGTGTTGGTGTCCAATTGGAATTATGGGTAATCTAAAACAATTTTGACAATTCTGCTTAATATTCTTTTATCCTTATGAAATATATTTATTTTTCTCTAAAGGTAATTCACACTGATGTTGTTTCCTTTACTTGTTTTAGGACTGCTGGCACTACGTGGTTACGTGATTTCGGGTGAAGTGTATACCTGGGTTGCGGTGTTTATTCTTCCGATAAATTCAGCTTTAAATCCGTTTTTGTATTCATTTTCAAATATAAGGAATAGGGTGAGTAAAGTCGTCTCTAATTCTTGGTGGCACGAAATTAAGGTCTGACGACACGTTGCGCAAATATCTGTTTTGTATCTCTTCAAAATATACAACAAATTTATCATAATTATCATTATTTTGTGAATTTTAAGCTATTTTCAAAATGTCTAAGTAGATAAAGACACCAAAGAAGTCGTGATACTGGCAATGCTAGTGATTTCCAATAGGATTATATAGTAAATAGCATATTCTGGTATCTTACACAAATGCCTGGTAAAGTACCTTAATTTTTTGTGAAGAAACTTGTTAAAGTAGCAATACTTCAATGACAAATTCTTGGAAAAAATATATATACAAAATGTATTTTAGGAACGTGTCATCTGACCTTAAGACGAACAATCTTTTCTGCTTACATTACATTTAAACTGTTTAATTTCTTCTAAGTTAGAAAAACTTGAAATATAAAAAGATGGTAATATTTTTAGGTCGAGATGGCGATGTTGTCTAACAAGAGAAAAGTTTTTAGAACCCATTGTGAGTAATTCGGCAGTCAAATCTTTTATTGCAGACTACGATAAGATTTCTTTTAAATTTTTATGAAATAGCAAAAAGGTAGCAATCAGATTTAAAAAAAAATTCAAATGATATAAATGGTAAGTGACAAGGAAATAATGACTTACAAGTTGTAATCATATTGATTGCATGGTATTTATATTTTTCAGCTGCGACAGAAACTTTTACAGAACTTTGTGAAAATGATTTGTTTATAATTGGTAAAAATGCTCCCCTGCTTGTGACCTTGTCTGACTACATGCGGAATCATACTCTCACGGTGCCGGAAATGAAGCTCGTCGTTCTACGATTGTCTGAAGCTATGAAGTTTCTACACGAACGTGATCTAGTTCATGGGTGTTTGGATACGAATCTTGTGTCGATTGATATTGAGGACGGGGTAAATATACTGTAAAATGGGAATACATTGCGGTGGTTTTAATATCACTATGTACGCAATTAAAGAATTTTCTGTCTTAAATACTGTAAACTTATCAGTGTACCCTCATATATCAAAAATGCGCTATACACATTAAAACCATGTTTTCCTATTCCATAATAGTATAATTATAGTAAACCATTGAAACTCATTGCGAAATGGTTTATAATAACGGCCTACTTACGTTAGTTACTGGATAAGTTTGGTGTAAATAAATGACCATGACTTTTTTGGTTTTCATTGAATGATTTTTTTAAAGTTACATGTATTAAAGAATGTTGAATTCAGTGACCTTGAAAATAGATCATCGTAAATGTATCAACAGAGACAGTCATAAAATAGTAAACACGTGAAATAAAGGACGTACGTATTAGCAAACAAAACCTGAAAAAAAAGTCCAGTAATATTTAAATAATTTTAAGTTTTCTGTATGAAGCACTATAAAACAATACTTTCCCTGCGTCTTGCTATGTATAGCTAATGGTGGTGTAGTTTTGACCTCAAATAATAAATTTATGCCTCCCTAATTTCTTCTTACCGCATTTTATTCATTTTCAAGGAAATTAAAGACCTGTCTGTGAAAATAGCACCACGTGAAGCTGAAGCAGACGAGGATATACCAAATGACATCAAACAACTGGGAGAAATAACTTTGAAAATGCTGAAGAACCACCAAAGTGACTCAAAAGATACTTGAAATCGTTTCCTTACATTTTTACCAAACTAAAAACGTGAATATTTTCATTAGAACAAATGGTAATGAATAGAATTAACACTCGTTTTTTGGTAGAGGGTTACCATTCGCTCAGCTAGGTTTTTCTTATCAAAGTGTGCTACGACTCTTCCTCTTTGTATTATTCTTGCATGTTGTCCATTTAATGAATAATCATACAGTTCTCAACTGTCTTTTCTAAATTATATTCTTGTTTTATATTTTTTTTTTTTGCTAATGATAACAAGAACTTTAAAAATACGAATACTACATAAAAAAGGAAATCTTAGGTGTGAGAAGCATTCTTAATTGTGTAAAATTACAGGGCATAAGAATTATAGATATATTTTTAAAAAATCCTTTTTTCTATTAATTGTTTTTCAATCACGCATTCTTTATATGACCAATAAAAAAACCTATAGTCCCCTCCGGTTTCACCGGGGGACTAATTAACACACTTTAAAACAAACAATAACTTTAAATTGAGTCTTGTTAATAAGCCATATAGTACATGCATTTATTTCGGGTTTACAAGCACTTAACTTATCAGGTTCATGACAAGTACACCCCCCCCCACACATATGTAGTTTTAATAATATGAACTTTTGTAATTTTAAGGAGCGAAATCATGTAAGTATCCCTTGAAAAGACTTGTTCCTTTTTATAAAAAGTATTTGCTTTGTTATCTCGTTGGTCATTCGTTTCATAGAAAAAGAATAAATAGTAAAAATAGCACATGTACCTGATTTATTTATTTTGAATTATTTTACATGTACCTGATTTATTAATTTAAATAAATGTGGGTAAATGATCTTTTTTTAAAATGAAGTAATGTAATTTAGTATACGACGTGTGACTATCATATATTTTGTTGTGTGTGAACCAAAGTTGACCAGATACGGATGTAAGCTAAAATTATAGTGCGAAACATATTGAATGAATTGCCCACTGTGTAACATTTGTTCATCCAGTGCAACAAGAGTCATGTGACTAACAAACACTTACGGCCTGATCCGTTATTCTTTCATCAAACAACATGAGAATTGGTACACCAATCTGCTGTGTAAGTATTAACATTCACATGAAAGTTATATATAATTATATATTATTTAAAATCATCATAGGAGAAATTCGTAGTATAATTCGGGGAGAATTTTTAAAAATTTTGCACACGTCATTAGAAAGCAATCATTGTCGAAATCTACAATAAATAAAAATTGTTTCCTTACATGGTCGCTGAATGCAAAAGGTGAAGTCAACGAAAAGAGATCGATCTAAAAAAAAAATCTATAAACAATACAAATCTGTGAACAGGGCTTAAGCTATATCCAGGGCATCACTGGAAATTCCAGACGTGGGATCAGAAGTCTAGGTCAGGTTTGTTTTCTTGTATTAAGACATATCTGTATCGTCACTGTGAAAACCAACCGCATAAAAAATGTTTTAACTTTGTCTCCTTTTCTCTGGGACTGCTTTATCACTACAATATTGCTAATCACCTATGGATGCGACCAACATTTTGCATGAAAGTATTTGACTTTAAATTTATTCAAATATAGGATAAATTGCTCTCAGCAGAGAGTTAATTGCTTCAATTATTGTCGGCAGATTTTGTGTTGCAATGCTGACAGTAGTTTTGATCTGGGGACTTTTCGGTCTTTGTGTTACCTATATAGTGTCCAAATGGGAGCAGCCAGGTAAAATTATTCACTTTTTTTCAAATATACATTACTACTTCAGACAGTAGTGTTTCATGACCTAAAGTTTTTCAAATTATATTAACAAATTCTAACAAATTGACAACATTTTAAGCTTAATTGATTTGAATTACCAAACTGATATACAGTTGACAAGTTTATATCCGTATAAATAAACATATAAAAATCGATTTTTCTTGTTTTGTCAACTATTAATAGATTTACTGGTAATTAAATAAATGCATAATGCCCATGAATTATATTCTTTACAGTCTGTCCATTTGTTAAATGTCAAAACAAAGGAATACTCGATCAAACCACATGTCAATGTGTTTGTCCACAACATTATTTTGGATTTTTCTGCGAAAAGAGTGAGTATTGAAAACCTTTAGCGAAATTACTGATTACTATTCTGTCAAACTGTGGAACTTAATGTTAAGAACTCAATTTCTGTTTTACCAGTCTAATATTCACTTTCTGAATTCTTGATGAAAATATTGCTGTACAGTACAGTGTATAATTTACATAGTATCAAATAGAAAAAATAAATACATGCAGGTTATACAGTTAATTTGTAGAACACAGAAGCTATTGAAGATTTCTTAGATTGTTAAGCAACAACTTCAAGCAACAGTATGAAATATTAATGTTACAAATAATAAAAGAACATATATATATATATATATATATATATATATATATATATATATATATATATATATATATATATATATATATATATATATATATTTCAATTGATGAGTCATTTGGTACAAGTGGAACTGAACGGATAATGTGCATAGATGCTGATTAGTAAAACCCATGAATATAATTCAGTTGTATAGAGAGGCTTGGACAAAGTGGATAGATTTTCCAGTATTGTGGAAACCTTTTTGCAGCATCACAGGCCAATGATATTAGAACTGATGATTTTTTGTCAACATCTATATTTCTTGCATCTTCAATATTTATGATATTGTATGAACATGCAGTTCTCGTTTTGTTATGTTACATGTACACGTACATGATATATGGAGTTAAGGAACAATAATCAAGCTCAGAAGTCCATAGAATTAATAAAAATCGGGAGCAGAGCAAACACGGACCTCTAAAAACATCAGAGGTGGGATCAGGTGCCATGGAGGAGTAAGCATCCCCTGTGTACCGGTCACACCCGTCATGTGCTCCTTATTGTCAATCAGAAACTCAAGCATTTTTTTTTAATATCAACTTCAGAGTACTTGTGTGTACCATTAGAATGTTTTTTTTTTAAAGAAAATAATTTTGCAAATGACCAATGGAAAGGTAAGTAAATTTACGAATTCCATTTTTATTGAAAAAAGCAGCTGTCTATGATGTCAAAAAGCCTGGACTTTAATTTATCGTGGGGTATGGTTGTATAAAGTATTGAAAAGTCGTACATTTATAAATTTTATACGCTTTCTTTCTGAACTGAAATATTGCAACAAAATCTCTTCTGTGCAGCTTACCAAAACAGTAAATGGCCAGATGGGACATATGCCCTCCCTGCCTCAATGTTCGGTTGTCCTGAGACTGAGGACAGGGGGTGGACATCATCTTATATCAACCTAACCCTCCCAGACTCTGCCCAACGTCAGTATTGGAACACTAAAGACCCAAACCTCCTCAATGGCATCATAGAGCCTAACATACTGGGACCATACTATTATCGTGCTATTCAAATGAATTTTTGTGTAAAAAATCGAACCAATGATAAGGAATTTGACGATAAAACAACGGCTGAGTGGCCCAAAGGCCAGTACTGTATATACAGTTTCAGCGAAATATGCCCTCAAGGTAAGTCAATATGTATATATAAGTAGTAATTTCTCTTCAGACACGAAAGAAAGTACATGACAATGACTTTATTAAACCCTTGTTGCGATAGGCTATGTGGATTGACACTCCATTTCCTCGAAAGCTAAGTAATTAATTCTGAAACTACATATTGGCCATGATAATACTGTTGTAACCAAAGGTAAAAGATGTATGTATGTCTTGTCCAACCTTCAAATTTCTTCGTTCGTTAATTAGTTCAGGCGCTATTCTCTCTTTTTTTTCCTTTCTTTGATCGTTCATTCTTCGCATTGAATGTGAAGGGTTAACGTTGCAAAAGCATGCATCCTTTGGTCAAGCCACCCAATATCTGCATTGATGGAGTTAGTGTCATTAACTTGTTTGTAGGTCATATGCCAGAGTTCATGGTCATTTTAGTTGTTCAGAATATATCTGAATTTATACCTTAAACACACAAACCGTCACGGTAGCTCAGTTGGTAGAGCTCTTGCTCCGAGATCGGAGGGTCGTGTGTTCGAATCACCTTCGCGACTGACCTAAGTCGATAAAAAATAGGTAGCAAATGTTCCTTCGCCAAGCGTTCGGCACTTTGAAGTGAAAGTTGCGGGTTCTTCGGATGAGACCTTAAAAACCGACGCCCCGTGTCACGGTAGGCGTTGGCGCGATAAAACACCCTCACTGATCAATGGCCCTGAGTGCCGAGTAAAGGTCCATATTTGAAGCCCTTCACCGGTATATGGTGACGTCTCTATATGAGTGAAACATTCTCGAACGGGACGTAAACAACATACAATTAATCAATTAAACACACAAAAGAGGATCGATCCGCAAAGAAACTAGATTTTTCACTGCCCTTCAATGTTGTACATTTAAAAATTTGTAAACTTCCAGTTATATATCTATTGCAAGTTCATTAACAGAAAATGCTTCTGTTTTAAATCAATAGAACATCAGTATATTGAGGTCCAGTACATTTAATGAATTAAACATAAACTAGATAATTGTTTCCAGTACATTTAATGAATTAAACATAAACTAGATAATTGTTTCCAGTACATTTAATGAATTAAACATAAACTAGATAATTGTTTCCACTGCAAATAGCAACGTGTCGTTTATATGATTTGATACAAGAAAACAATGTTTTTTTTCCCTAAGATTTATAATGGCACTAGATGAAATCCCGCGCAAGCGCGGGGAATTGAATTTATACCACTACCGACAGAAAAAATCTAATAATAATATTATATATATTGTAGTTTCTACTGACAGCCTACAGGCTTATAACTGGAAGAAATACTTTGTGAAGTAGAAGTACGTCTCCACCCCCCCCCCCCACCCCCCCCCCCCCCCGTGTAAAACTTAAATAACAATATCATTAATTGACGTTTATTGAGAAACCTGTTATATACTATGTTATGGATATTGTATATACTATGTTATGGATATTGTACTTCAGATGCTCTTATTTCATTTCCGTCAAGAATAAAAGCAGTGAATATGCACATTTTACTGAGAAATAGATTTTTTGGGGTAAAAATTCACAGGTACTTGGTTCTTGGTTTATAAATATGTATGTACCTTATTGATATGTAAAAACTGTACCTTACCTCTTTTTTTAACATATCAATAAGGTACATAAATATTTATAATCCAAGACCCAAGAACCTGTGTAAAAATTAGCTTTTATATAACGCCCTATGAATACAATGGCGGATTTAGAGGGGGGCCAGCCCCCCTCCCATTTTGTGTCCAAAATATACATAAAATTTAATAAGTCAATTTTTTTGGTGTGTGTCCGTGACCCCTACCCCAACCCCAAACTGGTTGCCCCCCCCCCCTTTCAAGATTCCTGGATCCGCCACTGGAATAGGCCGAGTATTTGATACAAAAGACTGTATTTAAAAAAAAACTGAAATGTATTGATTAAAGCAAAATTTTACAGCATAATTGTATTTGAATAATGCCTAATTCATTAATATTCTCTTTTCATGTAAGCAAGTTTATTACGAAGTACAAATTGTACTTCGGGTTCGTTGCCACGATGCTCTCAATGAGGAATATATATACAAATTTTACCGATAAATTTATTAGGAAAACCTACTACATATATGTAATAGTAATATATAAATATATTCACAACTTACAGTATTATCAATGATTTACCATTATTTCAAAGACCATTCACACAAAAGCTTTTTTATGTTAAAGCAGCTATAATCACCTCGTTTTTCTTTTTAACATCGGGCTCGATGCTATATGATGTTCTAGAAGTTTCCGTCAATATTACGATCGGTGAATGACGAAAATAATCTGCACATTTTCCTTTTTAATCGGGTATCACAACTTATTTCCTTTATATCATTTAAATCAAGTTTTGATTGAATAATAAAGTGATGACGTTTTATGAAATAAATAAACGATTGCTTGTTGTCAGTTTCATTAAAAATTGCCAGTAACTTAGATCCGCCAACCGGAAACGCCACCGTACTCACGTTTTTGCTATTTCATGGCTGTTTATAGAAAATAAAAGTAGACTTTTAATTTAATGTACGATACTTACAATGCAAGTGAAATCTAAATATAGTTTACGGACATCATCTTGTATCGTGTGTATTCTCAGAGGAGTAAGTAAGAACTCTGGTGCACCCGTTTCGGAGTTTATTTGCAAAATTTATTAATTTATAAGTATAGATATACATTATTGTTAATGCACCTGATACGAGCATATTTGATGTAACATTGATAATTTGAGTGACAAAGAGGGTAAATCCTTACATGCATTTCGTTACTGTAGATTCCTAAATATACGCGAGGAATTAATTATCGCGTAATTACGCGAGAAGCACTACTCGCGAAATAAAATTACTCGCTTTAATTTTTATGGTGATAAAATCAGTGTAAAATCTCTTGATCAACCGTCCACTCGCGAATTATTGTTCTCGCGATTTGACGTTTAAGAGTCATTTAGCGAAAATAAGTACTCGCGAAAAATAAGGAATCTACGGAATACATTTTATTCTCAAAATAATACATATGATATATGAAACATTTTCAGTCATTGTATGTATAATATCAATTCTTTCTTTCTGGAAATACTAAATATTATTGATAGAAATAGTAGACTATGTTTATTTCAAGGGTTTTCTACGGGTACCTTGACAATATCCGGTTATCAGTTCACACAACAAGATATAGGGGGCCTTATTCCAGGAGAGACCGGAAACAATATGAGTCTGACACTGAAGTTCTGCTGTAGAGAAGATGGTGACAACCAAACACCAGTAAAACTTCCATCAGACTTCCCATTCGTTCTATTTCAGGTACGCCAATCAAAATGAAGTATGATAGTAAGATAATGGCCATGTTTTCAATAAATCTATATATTCACCAAAAATCAAAGTGTTTACGATGAAAATCAAGGAAAAGCCTATTAAAGAACTTCAGTCGTTTAACAAAGAATAGACATAATCCGTTGATATATCACACGTTATCTCAATATTAGCGTTGAACATTTCATAAGCTTTAGTTCCTTGCAACATATTGCTAATTATACAGTATTTAATAGATCTCTGTTTTAAAACCAACATACAATCTTTACCAGAGGATGTTTTAAGTAGAATTACACCTCTGTAATAGTTTAAAGATATACACGCTATAACTTGCGTCAGTTAAAAATAAAGTTGGAAATTTATTTATTTTGTTTACCAAATAAAGTTACGAAAATATTGTAAATTACACAATTGGAAATGAACGTATTATAAAGATCTCAAATTATAATTATTTATTATCCTACTAGGAAAGTAATGCTATATATTTAAATTCATGCATCATGTGACACCGTCGCTACTTTTAGATTGATAAACAAAAATGGCGTCAAGAAAACGAGGTAGGCCGTTTGGTATACAAAATAGCTTTTGACATGGATGGCATACGTTATATGTTTAAAGATACTTATCTTTGAAAACAACCTTTATTAACCATCTACTCTGTAATGACAGATATTAACTTTTATTCAAAATAGTAGTCAAAATGCAACGTACCTCGTTGTCTATGATTTCCCGCGGACTTGCGTGTCTATATACTGTTTACGCTCTTCCTTCATCAATATTCATGAATAGGCAGAATTCTTAATTGCAGATCTTGCTTAATTGTTTTGTAATTACAATGATTTATTTAGTAAAACTTTGTGGAAAGTAATTATTTTTTATTACACATCATGTTTCTCAAATCATTTAATCATTTTGTTTCACAAAAGAAATCGCGTTTATATAGCGTGTATATCTTTAAAAATGATACTTATATCAATATTGTAGATGTAGAAATTTAAACAAAACAGTTTTATTTACATAACTTTAATTCGCAAGAAGAAGAAACTCATAAAATTAATATAAGAATGCTAGTCTTTTTTGTGCATCGACAAAATGAAATTAAAATAAAACATATTACATACATGTATTCCGTTTTACGTGATGTGAGTCTTGTAATTTAGACGATATCGTGTATGCTTTTGAATGTCAAGGAATGACAGTGGTTGGTATAGATTGACAAAACACAACACGGAATAACGCATTGACACAATCATTTCTTTAACATTTAAAAGTTATATTTGCTGTTGTCATAATTTGAGAAGGTACAAAAATCAATTTATTCTAATATACATGTAATAGTCTGCATAACTCGAATTAACATACGTTATGACTTTTAGAGCCAGTCAGCTGATGCCTGTCAGAAGGCGGAGTCTATGATCGTACAACAGGATTATTTCTACATGACCAATGAAAACGATGAGTGGCAGTACAAGGGGGCGTTACCTTTCTTGAACAAAACAGCAATAAATGGTTCTGTAGGCATGGTCTATTGCTACTATGAACCTTTTGGTAATACATTGCTTTTATATTGTATACAATTTAAAAGCAGAATTGGATTTTAAACTTGCGTCTGATAAAATTTTAAATGTTAAGTAATAAAGATAAGCTGTTAATTGAATTTACAAAAAACAATATGATAAAGGTCTAGCATCTGGAGGATAACTACAGAGTTTTCACATTTTAATTGCTTTTTCAGAGCAAAATCAAATTTTTCATGATTAAAATGACAAATCCAGAAAGCATGTAACCATAGAAAATGAAAATGTGGATTTGTCTAAGTGTGTACTTTTTCCCTTCCTGTTTATCACAGATTACAGTATATACCCTGAAGAAATATAAATTCTTGTTAGGAAATATTGAAAACTTAAGTATGCTGTTGTTCATGACATCATTTGACTCAATGCTATAACTCCATTTTTAAGTCACTGTATTGGGGTAAAGGACAACTCGTCCGTTCCTAAATAATTTATCGTTTATATAGGCCTGATATCTTTTGAGCAGGAATAATGTCTGCCCTACGTATGGTAAATACTAAATCAGTAAGTTTGAATCAATTTTTGATTGCGTGGTGATATACTTTGTACAGATATGCTGCAGAAAACAATTTTCTATGCACTCTATACTATTATGATAATGATAGATTACCGTAATTTTGTTCATTTACAGCGCGCCGTGAATGCTACTTTGACACAGACTTTGGAAACTCTTACAACGGAAGAACCAATGTTTCAAAAAGGGGGAAAGCCTGCTTGTCTTGGAAAAAATCTAGTTTTGAAATTTACAAGAACAGTAGGAGGGTATTTCATGAGTTTGATGAGAATTACTGTCGAGCTTACCAGTATAATACATACACAGCGGGGAAACCATTGTGTATTGTCAAGTTACCAAACTGGAAACAATTCTGCATAATTAGGAAATGTGGTCAGTAGATCTACAACACTTTTAATTTGTGGCGAGATGAAAACAATAGCATATTATACGTACAGTACCAGGTAAATTTTGTTTTAATTATTCATGCAATTTTCATTGTTGGGGTACTCTATGATTTATTTTAGATGAAGATCAAAACTTGAAAGAATTGGGAAAATTTAGGCCTTATAGAAGTGTTCAATATGATGAAAATTCCGAGGCAGTGTATGCAGTTGATGGCTCCATAGGTGAGCAATGAAATTCTTATGATGATACCATGGAGATGATCTACGTTTAAAATTCTAATAAGAAATATTATTCATGCAGACACCCTGAACTCATTTATTTCAACTCGTCCAATGATGAAACCATGGTATCAAGTAAATCTTCAGGAACATGTGGAGGTTCATGCTATAATTATTTACCGTTTTAGTGGTAAGCTTATTCCACATAATGATTGTGTTTAATTCTATAGCGTCATTCGGAATTAAAAACAGAGATTCGCAAGTTATCAGGTACATTTTGTCAGTCTAAAATGTCTGTTCACCGCTAAAACAGACTTTCTATACATCTTATCGTGATTCCATAAATTAATTAAACGTTTCAATTGAGAATTTTTGCATTTTCTGTTCATCGTTTGACTATCTTTAAAAGGTAAAATAAAAATATCTTTAAGTAGACTATTACTGTAGAAAAAATATTTAATTAAATTGTTATTTAGTAACTGAATTAAAAATATAGTATTCTCCAATGTTAATGTTCTTAATTTTATTGTTTACCAATGCATTGCATCATTCTTATCATTAGCTTATATGCCTTTTAATCTGCGGTATCTTGGCACCTACGTCAGTAAGAATCGGTGGGACTTCATGAACTACGGTGCTGTTCGATGTGACGACATAAGACGTCCTGGATATGCCCTCGTATTTCGTTATCAATGCAGACGCCCGGTGGTGGGTCAATACGTCACCATCCGAAACTTTGACTTCACACATCCAGATCATAATCCAGGCAACTTTTTCAAAATGGAAATCAATGAGATTAAAATTCTTGGAAAAGGTGAACATGCCTTCTATTCTGATTAGGAGAATGATTGATTGTATGTATGTTGTTTTACGTCCCATTCGAGAATTTTTCACTCCATATAGAGACGTCACCAGATACCGTGGTGAAGGGCTTTAAATATAGACCTATACACTCAGGGCCATTAAGCGGTGAGGATTATTTGTCCCGCCACTGCCTACCGTGACAAGAGACCTCGGTTTTTAAAGTCTAATCCGAACGACCCATGACTTTCAATTCTACTGCCATGCGCTAGGGTAAGGAACATTTCACTACCAATGTTTACGTCTTAGGTTTGACGCGGCGCGGCGAACGAGAATCGAACCCGGGCCTCCCGATCACAAAGGGAACGCCCTACCACTTGGCTACATTAACTGATGAAGAGAGATAATGCACTAGGTTTTATAGCATTTCTTGGCTAAACATTAAAAAAACTTGCATTCAAATGTAAACGAAACATTCCAACTCCTTTTCATACGATGCTTCTGAAGATTCAGATTTGTTCTATTTATTACCAGTTATATAGAAAAGGGTTTAGGAAATGTACGAATAATGTTCGCAATTAGAGTGAAGGTATGATATATTTGAATGTAAACATTCTCTATATGATCACCGATTCAAGCATATATGTTCTATTAATTGCGAGACATTAAGAAATTGTATTTGACATCAGTAGGCGTTCCCAAAATTGTACTTTAGCATCCCAAAGAAACAAAGAGCTTCAACTAGAGAACATGCTTATGCTTGCACCATGTGTTCCATTGTATAGTGTATGACCTAATCCATTATAAACAAGCACAGTCTGACTGGAAAGTAATATGTGATGATTCCATAAATAGAAACTGACGACGTTCCACTGCTTGAAGTTATGTTTAAAAAACTACAGTAAAACCTTCCGAAATACTGATAACGATTCTTATTTTGAATTATTACAATTTTATATACATGTATATCTATACTCTTAAAAGCATAGTTATAAAGCGATGATTGCATGAATTCTTACCCATTGTTCTTGTGGTTCACAGAGACAACTTGTGGTAGGCCCCTGGGTATGGCCTCGGGTAACATCTATGACTATCAATTGGAGGCCTCGTCTGTAGATGAAGATGGTTGGCAAACACTTCCACTTTCACTTCGTGGGCGATTGTATCATCCAAACCCAGGATGGTGTGCTCCGAAGACGGAGAGATCGCCATGGTTTATGGTATGTATCAGAAAATTCAAATGTATGCTTTGTAAAATTATGTTTTACAATTTTTTTTTTCATGGCTTAGCCTACAAAGTGAAGGGTCATGTAACACCAAAAGAGTACAGTGAGATTTTTTTTAGCATTTTTTAAAAATTTAAATTAATTGCTTTGATGTATCTGGATGCGTTAAATACTTGTATATCAATTTTGAATAGAACGAATTATTTAAGAGAGCCTCACAACTCCAAGGGGGGAATTTCAGAAGAAAATATTACACCACATGCTATAAAATGATCTTGCTTCTTTTTCTTGATAGATTGATTTACTTGTCCCGACTGTTGTCCAGGGATTATCAGTCCAGGGTTGGATGTCAGGGAAGGAAGCAAGATACATTCAATCATTCCAAGTGTCCTATGGAGTAACGAGAAATAAGATAACACGTTATGAAGATTCAACTGGAATTACGAAAGTAAAATGATTAATTTCATTACTTCACCTTTAATAGCACCTTGAGGAATATGGTGATATGAATAATAAAAGGATATTTTTTCGGATGATTCATTCATTTCAATTGATAGTTGTATGCTCTTCAAGGTCTAACCTTCCTATATATCCAATTAATTTTATCGCCTGTGTTGAAATGACCAATACAATGGGATCAATTTTTTTCGGTGACTACCTGTCTGTTCATTTTTTTTGTCCGTTAGGAATATTTCTAAGTCCTTTTATTTAATTCATAACGTCGTAAGCATCATGAAATGATATATCTCACTGAGCTATAAACACTGTATAATGTAATATATAGTTTTTATCTATAGACTTTCAATATTGATGATACTGTGGCAGTAACTACACCTCAGACCTTCCTGTTTCACAATGAAATCCTGACAAGATACATCACAATACATCCAATAATAGCAGATGGTCAGCAGGCTTGTCTAAAGGCAGAAGTCATTGGTTGCCAAAAACAATGTAAAGTACCGTTATTCATAACTCTGAGAAACATTTTTTTCTCTATCACAGCAGGGTTAAAATTTAACTGAAACTGAACGAAAATAATATAAATTTGACATGAGATGCTAAAATTAAAAGAAGCTCTTTATTTCTTTCAAAAAAATCAATAAGATAAAAAGAAATTATTAACCTATTCATAAAATCTTCTTAACCTCTGGAGTCGAAATTTATACCTAAACCATACCCATTTTCATGGTGTCTCTGATATGCACTGGGAGTTTGCTGGTATATTTTAAAAGTCAGTTCAGTTCAATATCAGGCACATTATGCCAGAATTTTATACGTTCAACATATCTATTTATTTGCAGTGCAGAGAGACATAAAGTGCAGAAATGGTAGTTTAGACTTTGGATTTGAAGAACTGAAACGATTTTCTTTCTGGCTTTCTAAGGAGAAAATACATCACGTTTTTAAAAATATATCACGTATTGAGGGATGTAGGCAGTTCTGTTTGAATAACAACTGTACATCTCTCTCCTTTAAGAAGTACACGTCCGATCAAGAATGTTCCATAAGCTTTGGAGACAGATATCATCCTGCAAGAATGTTTGACTGGGTTCAAACAGGGGTAAAGCTTAATTATGCTTCACATCGTCTCTGTCTGAAAGGTTAGGAACTTTTTGAACTAATCTGTTCTCAGTTTAAAGTTTCTCTGAGGTTATTTATATATGACAAAGCAGAAAAGAAATAGATGTTCTATATGATTGATTGACTGATTGTTGTTTTATGATGTCGGTAGTATTTCCGCCATATTTCAGCGGGGAGTTTTTGACTATTTGTCCTAAGAAGATTGCAGACATGTTTCCGACTTTTCGTTTCCGAATTTGTTACCAGCAATAACTTTGTAGTTAATAATTCTTCTAAGGAGAACTTTACCCCATCATTGTATGTTTAAAAGCGACTATGGTTTTAAATGCTTTGAATGTTATTCTTTTAATCATTACACCCTTCTATTGATTTTTTGTTTGTACTTCATATATATGAAAAAAGGTTTACATAACGAACAATGATCGATTAAAAAAATCTTCAAACAATACAAATCTGTAAACAGGGTATAAAAAACTTAATCCCACCTCGAAAAGTTAGATCAGGAGCCTAGGATGACTAAGCATCCCCTTTTGACCGTTCACGCCCGAATGTGGTATTATTTTTACGAAATCTGTTTGTGGAACAACTTTTAATATTTTTTATACAGCATGAAGAATAAAGACAGAAGTATTATTGTTCATAGCATCAAATAACCATCCCTGATACGCACTTTGATAAAAACTAATGCATGTATACGCTTACAGTATTACAAATACATGTAACAAACAATTTGATCAGTAGACATAAAGAGAGGGATGTTATTGCTCTTAAAACTTCATAATTAGGAAAAAAACATGGTTGTTATTGAAAGTCCTCATAATTAAAATTAACTTTTCAGGTGCTTATGAAGTGAAGTCTATCCTTGCACATTTTTAATAAACCTTTCGGAAAGTGATCGAGGTATTATTAAGTCTCCAGGTTTTCCATTTAGTTATGGCCAGGGGCTTAATTGTACTTGGAATATATATGCAGGGGACACGGCGTTCGTAAAACTGGAAATCGTTTACGTTCATTTAGCTAGAACAACAACAGAAATAGAATTAAATGAGGTAATCGAAGTTTGTTACGTCATTCAGGTGCTGTAAATATGGTTGAGTTTTCAAATAATCTTATGGATAGAGTAATGATTTTTTTGGGATATCATTTTCTTTGTTGTCTTTATTGTATAAATGTTAATAAAATTGCTTATTTTTTTCTTTTTCCTTCTGTCAATTACTATTCAAATCGACTTGATATCGTCTTGATATATATTTGTCACATTTATATGATGATTAATTGTCATGATGTCTAATTAAATCACCTACGTTTCGCAGCTTGGAATGCTCGATATAAATCCTGGAAAGTGTAAAGACCGGGTAGTTATACAGGACGATGAAAACCTCATTGTAATAACATCCGATTCTCAGGATAAATTTCGGGACACGGTCGTTATATCCTCAGGGAGAAATGTTTCTGTGTCACTTGAGACTTGTTTCCAAATGTCCGCAATGCAGCTAGAAAAGATTTTTGAAATAAAGATCACCAAATCAGGTATTGATGAATAGTTATAAGGAGTGAATGTAGAAGTGAAAATTAATATTTCAAAGAGAGAAAAGGTTTTATATAAATGCTATGATTGCAGATTTTTTATTGACTTTGGTTGTAAGTGGAATGGAAAGCTTACTCTAAACATATGTTATACATAGGTACATGTACATTGGTATCTTTGCTGTATTCATAGATAAACCAGGATGTGGAATGTCCTTAGGAGGACGTACTGTTAGGTGTAGAATGCAGTCAGCTTACATATCAACTGATCGACATCCAGCTTCTTATAAAAAAGGGGACTCTTTCACATGGAAAATAGACGGAAAATTTGGACAATACGTAAAACTGACAATACTGAACCTAGACGTTGTAAATGGGGGAGCAACCTGTTCAAATTCATATATTGCGATATATGATACAGACCTAAATCAAAGTCAAACGTTAATTGGAAGGTTTTGTAAGGAAAACAGACCTTTCAGGATTATCACTTCAAGGTGGCACCATATGAGAGTAGAATTCCGATCTGGGACGGACCAAAAGCCTGGACGAGGATTCATGGGATTTTACGAATTGGTGTATTTTACCCAAAACTATCTAAGTTTGGGGCATGAAGGTAAGCTGATACAAGCGAAAGTAAACTTAGCAATTTTGGTTAATTTTTCCTCAAAGCTACAACGAATGATTTTTGTGATGAATATGTGTCAATGATGTTTGAAATGTTACATTTAAGATAATTTAATTGTTCGTAATTGGCATATTTTGAATACGATTTTATGAATTTATCTTCAGGGTGTCCCAGTGTTTGGCACTACAACAATGGTAGTTGCTACAACATTTTCACAGGTGACGTAGGTATCACGTGGTCGGAAGCAAATCGCCACTGTATTCAAAAGAATGGAAGCCTTGTCAGCATAGCTTCAAAACAGGAACTAGCCTATGTTCATTATCTTGTAACCAATGATAAAAGCGTGACCGCTGACTGGCAGATCTATATTGGTATTTTTGTCAGATGTCTTTCAATGACTAATGTATTCAATAACAACATTAGCCATAATGTAAAATACTATACGCAATCATAACATAGCCAGTCGATTGTTTTATGTAGGTCTCCAGAAAAGGTACTCCAAAGAAACGGATGAACAGAAATACACATGGTCAGATGGAAACCCACTTACTTTTACTGCCTGGTAGGTTAATGCACTAGAAAGCAACCAAGAATTTATTTCAAACTAATTTCAATTTAAGTCATCATTAACTCTGTAAAACTTTTGAAAATAATTACATGTACTTTACAAATTAAATTATTATTCAGAACATTGGACGTCAATCTTTTCAAATTGCAAAAAGAGAAAAAAAGAAAAAAAAAATCAAAACGTTTTTGTCACTGTGTCATGGTTTGAAGGTCAGGCTAAATAACCTATTAAAAACAATGGGCTTAAGTTTTCTCTTGATGATATTCAGGTTTCGTGATGGCAACACTAAGGACCGGCAACCAAATGGGGTTCATAATGAGCTATGTACCAGTATCAAGTTCTACAATATTCATTCAATGGATGATTGGCATGACACAGCTTGTGCTTACGATAAAATCCAAAGTTACATGTGCGAAATTGATGTCGAATATAATAAAGGAAAGTTCACCTGCTATCACCATAATTATCTAGTATAGGCTCATAAAATGCTGTTGATGATGTATATAGCTGCATATGAATATAATGATGTAATAAACGAAAAATAAATAAGAAATCAGATATCAATCAAGCAGTTTTGAATTGTATGATGCATGATTAGAAAGAATCATTTAAATTCTAAAATTTAATCTTTTTGTCACTAAATACCTTTAAAATAAATGCTTTAAATATCTGAAAATGCATATAAACAAAATATGTGCATTTATGTAGAAATCATTGATTCATGTATTTGAAAAGACATTTACACCACATTTAGGATATCCTGATTTGAATACTGATCGTTAGTATTGCTAATTATCTCTTCTGGCAATATATGCTGGCTGATAGTGTTCTGACCGATGCCTTTTGTAGGTATTCTAAGTGCTGGTGTTCTTTTTAATCAGATTTATGTAACAGAAAATGTTCTCTTACTGATATATATATATATATATATATATATATATATATATATATATATATATATATATATATATATATATATATATATATATATATATATATATATATATATATGCATTAAACAATGTCATTTACTATTTACAGAAACTATTAGTCGGAGGAACTGGTGGGGAAATGGTTCCGTTCAGTTACTGTCGGCAAGGCTGGGTAACATTTTGTTCCAGTGTGAGAACACAGAACTGATCAGCAAACTGTTTGTATGTGACGGAATGGAGGACTGCAGTGACGGATCTGATGAGACAAACTGCTGTAAGTATCACTAACGATTAAAGGGTTTTTATCTCTTTCCATTAACTTGGTGCTCTTGTGTAGTTTGTTTAGTTGGAAAAATCAAAAGAAATAAGAAGTGAAGTAAACCTGTTAAGGTTACTTGATTCACCTAGATGACTTATTGATATCCTTTACCGTTCATTGTCTTGCGGAGACAGTTCGGTTTTTCTCAAGTCCAACTGTGCGAATTCAACCAAACTTGCAACAACGAATCCTTGCGTTAGAAAAAAAGATTTAACCCTAGATTAAAAAAATAATAAATGCGAGTCTTCAAATTGTTTGATTAGGCATTATTATCCACATGACTATATGGAGGTGCAAAATGTTTTAGCGTTTTACGAAGGGTAGATAAGACGGAAAAAAATAATCAGAAAAATTCTATTTAAGTTTTCAAGCCAGCAATTCGACCAATGTTCTCACTGTTTTGTCTTAATAAATCATGCTATGTATAAATGAATTCATGATCTTGGCAACTTGCAATATCAAACATAAATAAAAGAAAACAATTCTTAAATCACATTATACCTCTTCACCACAGTTTCCTCGTGTACAGATGTACAGTTTCAATGCGCCGATGGAGCCTGTATTTCAATTAGTCTGTATTGTGACTTTGTATACCATTGTGTGGATCACTCTGATGAAACAGACTGTAGTACGTATGCACTGATCTCATGTCGTGGTCATTCAGTTTCAATTACAAATCCTTTTCTGCATTGTTTGACCTGCGCTTGAATACGTTATTTAATTTTTGAAATTTATTTCGACAATCACCTCATTCAACAATCACTAGAACAGAGATGTATTTAGACTATATATTATCTGATGTTCTCTAGAGTGCACCCTATCTATCGCTTATAACGATTTAAATGAAATTTCACACAGTAAGAAGACCATGTACTGATGAGGAATGGAAATGTATGAATGATCAATGTATTTCTACAACCGACCGCTGTGACATGAAAATAGACTGTTTAGATGGAAGCGATGAGAAATATTGTGGTGTGTAGTCAAAAGTTATATTCATAGTGACATTAAATGACTTAATATATTCCAAGAGACCATAAGTCCTTTGCAATAATTGCTCACTTTTCAGACACATGCACGGGTTTTGAATGTTACGATCAGACCTGCCTACATCCCTCTAAGGTGTGTGATGGCTTTATCGACTGTAGTGGATTCTTCGCTGAGGACGAGTCCCAGGACTGTGAAAACAATGTCCAGGAGACGTGTAAAGATTGGTGGGGATTGGGACGGAGAGAGAACGGGGAATACCTTGTTAGTCTAGGTTACAGAGGTAATTTGATAATAATAACAGTGTCATGAACTCGATCTACTCTGCGATAGGCTTAATCGAATACAATTGTTTTGATTCTTTGCTTTCAACTTTAAAATGTTTGCTTGCAAGAAATGTAAGCTAAAATTTATTTTGATGTATGGGTGCTTAATACTCAATCCTGACCATTTGGACAAATATTCAGAAAATGCAATCTGTTTTATCTGCATCTAGTTTTTTTTAAAGATATTCCTCCAGCAAACGTAGAGTGTCGATTTCATAAACTAAATAAAAGCGTTATTGTGGAAACGTTTATTCACCATTCTGAGGAGGAGACGGTATATTCAAGTTTAACAAACGTAGATACACAACTGAGATATACTGCACATGAAAAACAAATATGGAAACTGAAAAAGACAAATAAATGCAGCCAGACAGTAAGGATCTCCTGTCATTATATATACTTAAAAGATATCAGGTGGCAGGGGAAAAATGGACAGTGGTTCTATGCAAGTTGGGGACCTTCAACGGAAACGTGTTCGTGCCCCTTTGTAAATAAATGTGAAGAAGGAAAAACAAGGTACAAAAAGCATATTAAAAAAATACCAATTATCATAAACAGTTTATACAATGATCTAGATATACATATATTTGGAAGTAAATTATAAGCAATACATTGAAATTTAATTGCAACATTATTTAAAAGAGATCTGTTTATAAAAAAAAAATCTGATGTTTAAAATTATTTCAAGAATAATTATGATTTTCAAACGGTTGTTTTCTTACCAATGTATTTAGATGTAATTGTAACTCCACATTGGATGAATTGTACAGTGCTGAAATCACGGACGTGAAGGAAGACGCCGGAGTTATAACTGACCATTCAGTGCTGCCTGTCCAGAAACTGTTCATCAACCGTCCAGGGGATGATAGATTCGTGAAAATAGAAATAGGACCTCTTGTGTGTACTGAAGGTTATAGGTCATTACTGTTTCTGAAATAGAAATATCCTTGTTGTTTTACTCTTGACTATGACATGATGCTGTAAACTCAATCTAATTTTAAAAAATAGCTTAGCTTTGTTACAAGACCTTTATTGATTTTAAATTTTTACGACCAACAATTGTAAGACATGATATACACGTAAAAATTAAAAATTAAAAACTGACCTTCATTGCAACAGACAATTGAAATATCCTTGTTTAATACTTCATTCTCAAATCCTTATGGATTTATTTCCTATGCATGACAAAATTTTATCTTGCCTGAATTTAATTTGTTCTTAAATTCATATTTCTTGAAAACACACACACACACACACACACACACACACACACACAGAGAGAGAGAGAGAGAGAGAGAGAGAGAGAGAGTATATGTCTCCTCACAGAGACAACAAATTCACAAAATTAACAATCTTCTTGTTACAGAGACAATGGAATTTTCCAAAGACTTTCTTTGTCGGACGGGAAAAATTGAATCCCTGTCAAATCGCTGTATCCTTGATTATGACGTATATGGTGATGTCATAGGATGCCGTGATCTGTCACATTTAGATGACTGTGGTATGTCTAACTAATACATTTAGCTTATTCAAACTGCGCCTAGAAATCTGGAGCGTTCTAAACATATTAAGATCTTTCACAAAGTGTGTGCGATACGATAATTACTTTACAATTCGAAATAAGACTTTATATTTCGTAAATTAATATTGTTTTCTCCTTAGCCCCTGATCCCACCTCTGCTTTTTCCAGGGGTTCGTGTTGTTTGTCCTGTTTTTAATTTGTATTGTTTAAAAGATTTTAAATTTCGGTAACTGTTCGTTTTACCTTTTCATTTTATTTGAAGGACATCATATATAAACATTTCTCAATGTTCATGACAGAAATATTATGCGTTTCAATAGCTTAGATATTTTTTTTTACCCCAAAGACGATATATTTACAACATATATGATTTTTTAAAATATTTTCGATGTCATTACACAATGATCAGAGTGAGATTTATTTTCCAATGAATGAAATATGGAGATAACGAACAGTACTCAAGCTCATGGTCCATTTAAACAATAAAAATTAAGAGCAGAGCAAAAACGGACTTTCCAAAAACATCGGAGGCGGGATCAGGTGCCATGGAGGAGTGAGCATCCCCTGCCGACCGGTTTATGTGACAGAGAAAACTATGTGCATTTTATCTTAGATACTTCATAGTCACTATACAATACAAATGATCCATTCAAAAAAAGACAATATAAGAGATTCTGGGGGTAAAATATGAGCCTATTGTATCTCTTTGTGATTTCTTGTTCAGTCAGTCTTTGTGATATGTCTGATCAATTTCAATCTGTAAAACAACAACTTGTCTTCCAGAATCCATGCTATGTCCACCAGGTTACATGAAATGTCCGGGGAGTTTTTGTATTCCTCCACGATTGATTTGTGATGGCGAGAAACACTGTAAAGATGGTGTAGACGAGATGCAGTGTGGTAAATCTGATATTTCTTTTGGAGTTTTTGATAGAAAAGCGGATAAACAATATCAATAGTGTTTTAAATTAATAACTCTTTCTTTCCAGAATCATGTCCAGGCTTATACCGATGCAAAAACAGCACAGTTTGTTTGAATCCGAAAAGGCTGTGCGACAACATCAACCACTGTCCCCTCCACGATGATGAAATTCTTTGCCAGATCACATGTCCGGATGAATGTAATTGTGATGGTCTGTCGGGTGTTTGTAGAGATCTCCAGTACACGAGTGCAATAAATCTTCCGGTTGAACTAAGACTTTTAAACTTGAGTAAAAATGATTTTAGTCGTGGTTTGCCATCTATGCTGCGTTTGATTCATTTAGTTAGATTGTTTATATCAAATTGCGGATTGAAAGCTGTTGAACCGTATTCCTTTGCAAATCAGCGAAATCTTTTGGAACTTGATCTCGGAAATAACAAAATATCTCATTTATATACTAATGCATTTACTGGTCTTGTGTCCTTAAAAGTTCTGAACTTAGAGGGGAATGAGTTTTTAACTGAAATATCAGATTCGGCTTTTGTTGGATTACAAAAATTACCAAAGTTTGATTTAACAAATTGTCGTATGTGGAGTATTGGAGCAGGTACTTTTGCTGGTTTACGGAGCGTTAACCTGCTTAATATTTCTGGCAATGATATTCAATATGTTTCAGATTTTGCATTTCACAACTTGTCTGAAGTGAAAGTGTTAGATATAAGGAAAAACAAAATTCAGCAATTTTCAGCCAAAATATTTTATGGCCTTTCGAAACTCGAAAAGCTGTTCACAGATTCATACGCATTCTGTTGTTTGAAACCCCAAACTGTGAAGTTGTGCTTACCAAATGCAGATGAATTCTCATCTTGTGATGACCTGATGAGAAACGAATTCCTCTCTACCTGTATGTGGATTATGGGATTTTGCTCCTTGTTAGGAAATTTTGGAGTTTTCATATTCAAAGTATTTTTCGATAAACAAACTTTAAAGAAAGGCCACGGTATTTTCATAACTAATCTAAGTGTATCAGATTTTCTAATGGGAGTATATTTGATAACCATAGCCTCTGCTGATACATACTATCGTGGGAGTTATATTTGGAATGATAATCAATGGAGACACAGCGCAACATGCAAAATAGCTGGAATGCTTGCTACCATCTCGAGTGAAACATCTGTACTTTTACTATGCCTGATAACAGTAGATCGTTTTATAGCAGTCAAATTTCCATTAGGTCAGTTTAGGTTCACTAGAGGCAGGGCTCTTTTATGCATTGGCGTCTTGTGGAGTACTACCGTCGTACTGTCTACCATTCCTTTGATTGCAGGAGGATACTTTCAAGGAGAGTTCTATTCTCGATCTGCCGTCTGTCTTGCTTTACCTTTAACCAGAGACAGACCTGCTGGATGGGAGTACTCCACAGCAATCTTCATCATACTCAATTTACTTCTCTTTCTTATCATTGCATTGGGGCAATGCTTGATATACAGAGAGATATCAAGATCAACCGGCAGTATAAAATCCACTAGGAAAACCCAAGACATTGTCATTGCCCGTGGACTCTTCCTTGTGATTTTCACCGATTTCATATGTTGGTTTCCCATTGGAATCATGGGTAATGTGTTAGTCCTGTTTAATTGGGTGTCTTGAACAAACCAATATCACTCATCATGGTACATATTTACAATTTTGATATTTAATACCTTAATTTTAAAATTAAACACTTTCTTTACTTTTTTCAGGATTATTGGCTCTAAGAGGTTATGTGGTATCAGGAGAGGTTTATGCATGGGTCGCCGTCTTTATACTTCCTATCAATTCCGCTTTGAATCCATTTTTGTATTCATTTGCTAATTTGAGAAAAAGGGTGAGTAGGACTCAATTAGGACGTTATTTATTTGATAAATAAATCCATTACTGAGTATTAAAAATGTAATATTTCATTTTGATAGCAAATTTAATATCGTTTAATAAGTATAACTATTCAGAATATTATCTGCATAAATATCAATAATAAATATGAGACTAGAAGGTGGAGAATTCTTTTTAGTTTGGGACATCATTGTAGGTTGAGACAAACATGTCATCCAAAAAGAAAACATCAATGCAGCACCACTGTAGGTCTATTTTTAACACATTCAATAATCTTTTTCCTTAGACATTAGTTTTATGGATTTGAAAAGGACGAAGAATAATAGATGCTTGAGGATCATGAAAAAAGAAAACGTCTTTTTTAAGCAAGTTAAGGAATCTCAATTCAAGTATTTTGCAGCAAAACAAATATTTAGCGATTGTATTTGTATTTAGCTACAGCGGAAACGTTTAGAGTGTTGTGTGACAACAAGTTGTTCGTGATTGGTAAACACTCCCCTGTGTTCGTCTCTTTATCCAATCATCTCCAGAATGGAATAATCACTGTACCGGAAATGAAGCTCGTTGTTCTCCGATTGGCCGAAGCTCTAAAGATTCTGCACGAATACGATCTTGTTCATGGAAACTTAAATACAGATCTTGTTTTGCTTGATGTTGTGAACATGGTATAATTTAAGTTTGACTATAATCGTTGGTAGTTTAGTAAAAACTTTAATACAATGTATATTCACTAACTTTCGAGCGACAACCAACACTTTGCTCATAAGTACAAATTGAATTACCTCTGCATGTTGATTAAGATTATAGGCTTGGAATTTCATAAAAGGAAGATTATTTTTGTTAGGAAATTGAACATGCTATAATTATGTCCTATTTCTCAAAACAAAAAAATCTTGTTGTAGAAAATAGAAGACGTGTATGTCAGAACTGTTCCTAAAGACGCTGAAGAAGATGAAGATATCCCAAAAGATATAAAACAACTAGGGGAAATAACACTAAAAATGCTTAGGAATTACCATAAAAATACATCAAAAAACACTGAATGTTAGAGCTCTGTACTTTGACTACTCAGGATTGGAGAAAATATAAGGCATTATGCATTAGAAATTAAGTTGTGTATTGCTGCATATTTTATATATATATAATTCTACCAGGACATATACCCTTTGTCACTGGAAAAAGGAAACATCACTTTTGGAGAAATGACCAAGTCTGCAAACAAATGTTTTCCTCCCAATACAAAAGATACCCTACAGGTTACCTGACATTTCAGCCAATCTGATATCTATTTCCATTAATCGAAATGCCATTAATATTGTGCCCTTTGTTTTGCGTGCTCATTTCTTGACTATATAATAAAATGTTGTAAATTGTACGAGGGTTGGTTCAAAAGCAATGTCATAACTGCTATACAATCTTAAGTAATTGGAAGTGTGGAATAAAATTTTATATCTAGTTTGACGTTTGCTTTAAAAAAATATTTAGATATATTAAGATACACACTGTGTTAGGTCTCGTTTTCGCCTAACGGCAGGATGTACCGACGTTGTTATGACATCACTAATTTTCTGTTTATTCATAAATCTACAAATACAGGTCTTATTTCATGTACACTTCTTTCTTGTGCTGGAACTTCTTGTTTTGGGCTTTTTAAATAAATATTTTAACTTTCCATGTTGCATTTGTTCGTTCTTTTTGCTGTGCGTACATGTAGACTTGGCGTTGTGCTGGATTTAAGAGGAAATGACATGAAAGGCTTATCTTTCACCTAAATTCTTCTTCCAAGTGCCTCTCCGTCTTTTGACTTCCATTTATACATTGTTTTGATATGCATCTTTTGTAATTTTAAGTAATACATTTGTTAGCAGCAAAGGTTTCGAACGTGAAGTTTGGAGTGAATTCAGGTTATCGATTTTTTTTAGTATTTCAACTTAGCAGGAAAAAAAGCGGGCGAAAGATTAGTCAATCTTTTACGTCACTTCCTCTTAAATCAGACGATAAATAAGATTGATGCAAATAGAATGAATTCAGAAAAATAAAGTTGGTCAAAATTCAAATAATTTTAATGCTACAACTCAAATTCAGACGCTTAATAGCGAAATTGCAGAAACATTATTGAAAAAAGCTTTGAGAGGTTTTATGTGATTTGAGTAATTGCTGAAAGTAACGCCATTCGTAAGATTCTTGCTGTGTCATATTTTTTGTTTTGTATATGTACCTCTGATCAGTTTGTATAAATTGTATATATGTTATTAATGTACCCCCATGTACCAATATTTTGGGGTTTAGGTGAATAAACTGAAGTTTAACTTGAACTTGTTACGATAGATAAATCATAGCATTGTATTCTGTATTAAAATTTTATGACAGAAATTATACTTGGCGGTAAAATGTCGTATATTCAATGTATTTTCCCCACTAAATCAAAAAGATTCTTAAAATTCATGAAAAAAAAAAAAACAAAAAAAAAAAAAACAAAAAAAAAAAAAAAACAAAAACAAAAACAAAAACAAAAAAAACGTAATTTCAATTTAATACTTCTGAGAAACCTATAATATTTCTATAGAATAGCTATATATATGAACGTAAAATCATTCATCTTATACTTGGTACAGATAGAAAAGCGTATTATGTTCTTTGTGATTTTTGATATTTAGATTTGTGGATTTCCTACTTCAAATTTGCATTAAACAGTGCTTTTCCGACGTGAACAGCATAACCATAAAGTTAAACGGAAGAAAAATGTTTCGATATATCTTTATAAGATGTCTTGATGCTGTAAAAACGTCAACTTCAGTGAAGAAACAAAGACATATATTCAAAATGTGTATCTTATAGTACAGAATACATTTTTCTTTGTTTCCCCCAATTATCATTCATTATATGATTATTATGTGGATGCTTTTATATCAGTAATTACCAAATATTGCCTATACTTAAGGAATTGGGATTTCTGTAAGTTGTTTTAAAAAGCTACCGAAACATTCCCAAAAATAAGGTTTTTTTTTTTTTAATTTCAAGATTGAATTTCATGCTCCAGGTAAGCTATTTTGTAATATATTTCTGAAAAACAATTCATTTTCAAAGAAAAAAAAAGAACTAATGAAAGTGGAAATACGAGATACATAGTTCTCAGTTAACATCTTGCCATACTCTAATAACTTCAAACTGTCCTCGGGCAGAGATTTTGATTGGCTATCGTAGTGTTTTTATGTAAAATGAGACGTAAACACGTTTTATTTATTCAGTCTAATATCTAAACACTGGAAAAGAATTTTTAAACCCACTCATTTTTAAATTTTGCTCTCTGCCCGGGAAAAGCACATACCCTTTATGGTATCCATATTCATATCCAATTCCATGGTATTCATCATAAAAAAAAATCTGAGAACAAAATAATAGCATGTTTAGCTGTATTCAGTCTTTTTTGTTCAAAAAAGCAGTTGCAACTAATTAAAAATACATAAAATATCAATCAGGTATATAAAAGAATTTAATATTGTTGAGAAATTCATTATCTTTTGTTTGTGTCATTTAGAAGCAATATATTTCTTTAAAAAATGTGCTTCGATTTTGTTAACAAAAGCAATTTAGTTTTAAATGTTTTTAGCTGTATGCATCATCAAGCAATACAAACTTTTAGCTTAAGTTTACAGGTAATCACGCGAGACCTGCAGTTGTTAAAGACGACTGCTTAGTAAACGTATGTTGTATTTGAACTTGTATCCGCATATAAGGGTTAGATTATCATAAACTGAAGGAAAAAAACCCATCAATTCTTTTAAATAAACGTCTCTGACGTTATTAAAATAAACATGGATATTCATCATTTGATTGTAACTTTGGAACTAACGTGAGATTTCAAAAAGTACAAATGATGAGGACATAGTAAAAGAACAAAAGCATATGATGCATCATCAATGAAAATCAAAACAATGATGTAAAATCAGAAAAACAAAAAACTGAAGCGCCATAAAAATTAATATACATAAATACATGTAAGTAAAGTTGACGATGTAGAAGCTGAAGTTATCTTGTTTGTCAAACAGTTATGTTGTTAGTTGGCGATTATTGTCAAAAGTCAGTGTAGCTGTCACTTTTGTATTTTTATTTCAAGTTCACTTAGATGTTTCGAGTCGACATAGAATGGAAAAAACTATTGTTAACTGATCAAACATTGTCTATTTCGTTGAATGCGGAGTTGTAGGCCACAATAAGAGTTTTCTTCTTCGCATGTTGAAGTTTTTGAATAAATTCTGCTTCATAGGAATATAAAACGGACCGGCCAATAAAGAAAAACAATTGGTCCCGTCGTAGTTCCAACAGTTTGTTGGAAGACCTGATCTCCGAAGATTACATAAATGATGTCAATGAGGAACGCCAGAATTCTTGCAACATCAACTTCATAGTACTAATTGTTTGCAAAATCGGAGTGAATTTTAACGAAGTGGCATGGATATTAAATCCAAAAAATTATAAAGAAATCATGCTTTTTTTCTCTGGTGCTGAAATATTCGACATTATTACAAAATTTTACATTTTTTCGAACTTGCAATAAGGTTATTACATATAAGATCTCCCAAGGTTTGTGGTTGGATTTGACTTTTTATCCAGTGAGTTGTTTGCTTTTTCATCCCCGAGTCCTCGAGCCTATTTGAATATAAAGAAGATGGGCAAACAAGGCGAGCGAAAAGCCAAGATAGAGTGCGAAAAGATGGAAAATTAAATCTCAACTGTAGCAAAAAGTTATTTGATATATCATCTAAAATTGGTTTATACTTTATGTTAAACCTGGGAAATTTACAAAAATCTTACAAAAATTCAGATTACACTGTATTTGCCTACAAAATAGCAAACACACCACAGAGGGCAAAGGGATCTTTTATCTCATACATTACCACAATTTTTAGATATGAGGGGGTCATTGCTCCATTTTTTTTGAAAGTTTATCCTCAAAGTTTGTGTAAAAATATACATTTTTTGTTTAACAGAAACGTGGAGAAAAGACCCACTATACCTTAAAATGCGCTTTTATGACACAACATTCGCATCTTTCAGAAAAATACCTGAAGTCCATTTAGTCAAGTGCTTTATCACAAACATAATTTAAATGCCACCATTTGTCAGGAGCTGAGTAGTGTAGTGGTTAGCGTGTTAGTATCAAACGAAATTGATGCTCATTAAACATGTGTTAAATTTCAAATATACGTGGTATAAGGTATTGGTTGATGTTTTTAAACTGAAAGCTATATCTGCTATATAGATCATCAAAATGCATGTTATACACATTTATTTGACTGTTTTTGTTTGCAAGGTTATTTAAGGAAACCTATTCATGTAAAATACAGAAAAGCAACTTTCAGCACATAATTCAAGGATAAAAACTGGAAAGTACGACAACTTAATATGGGGTAATAGGATATGTTATTTATGTAATTCAAATCATATTGAAGATGAATTTCATTTTTTATTCATTTGTCTAGGTTTTCATAATTTAAGAGACAAGTTTATAAAACATTGCTACACCTGAAGACCAGATGTCTTTAAACTAGTACAACTATTTTGTAGTACAAATACTAAAGATGTAAATCAGTTAGGGAAATATATATATCATTCTATTAAATTACGATTAGAATGCTTAAAACAATTAGCTATATGATAGCATGTAAGTATCACAGGTTTGTAAGTGTATAACATGCCAATGTGCTATGTATATAATTGATTTATACATATATATAATATTGTACTGTAATGCTTATGGGATGTACGTCCCACGGAATAAAGAACTGAAATGAACTGAGTGATTGATCGATCATATACTATTTAAGATCGTCGGCAGTAGGTATTAGCCATATTTCAGATCACGGTACATGGGATTTTCTCAGCCCCAGCTTTCAGACAAATTTTGAATTGTTTTTTTTTAATGTTATATCGCCCCTCCTATGAGAAATTTGCTTATTATGCTATTGAAAATTGTCATTAAATACCATAGTATTGGCTCCACTGAGTGTGAATTTGCTTAAATGTATTTAGTATATATACACATATATACACCGTGTTTTAAACGACAATTATTCAGTAATTGTTCTCTGTTCTGTTACAGAACATTGTTGTAAGGACAGGGTATAAGGATGCTGGCAGCAATTTTGAGCTTGGGACTCGTTCATCTTGGATTTGGCTATATTGTGTCCGAATGGGAACAGCCAGGTAAGTAAGAGTTTTAAAGAGTCTTTGATTAAATAATTAGATATCGCTATCACTTCGGATAAACATGTAGTGAGTGTTTTTGTTTAATAATCAAATGGAGAGAGAGAGAGAGAGAGAGAGAGAGAGAGAGAGGAGCGTTAGATATATTTAGTAGATTAAAGTGTTAACATGTAAAGAGATAATTTGGTTTTAACTAAACATCAAAAACTTGAAAATCGTGCAGCACTGTTCACCAAAACTTCTGTGCGTCTTAATAAAAATTCAAATGTATATTCTTATTTTATTTATGGAAACAATTCGATGTATGATTTTAGTTTTGTAAACGTTAATCTATGAGGCATCATAATGGATATTTCGCTATTGTTGCAGTTTGTCCCTTCGTTGAATGTCAGAACGCTGGAACATTGGATTTAACTAGCTGTCGTTGTAAATGTTCTTCAAACTATTTTGGATTTTTCTGTGAAAAA